CCCAGCCCCGATTCCCATCCCACACCCTGAACCCCTCATTTCTGCCCCCCACGAGCCACACCCCTAGCCGTAGCCCTCACCCCCCCCCCCCTTGGGCCCCAACCCGCTGCCTCAGCCTGGAGCCCTCTCTGTACCCCAAACCCTTCATCTCCGGCCCCACCCCAGTGCCTGCACCCCAATCCAGAGCCCTCACCCTGCCTTGCACCCCAACCCTCTGCCCCAGTCCGGTGAAAATGAGCTAGTGAGCAAGGATGGGGGAGAGCGAGCGACGGAGGGAGGGCGTGAATGGGGGGCGTGGCCTCATAGAAGGGGGCGTGGCCGGGGGGGCGGGACGAGGGTGTTTGGTTTTCTGCTAATAGACAATTGGCCCCCCTAAACCTCCCCGCCCCGCTCACTGCCCCCACGCCCCTGCCCTTGCCACCATGGCAACAGCACCACGCTCCACAGGAGTGCTGCCCGCTGCTCCCCCAAACCCGGGGCGCTCCCCGGCACTGACCTGAGGGCGGCGTGAGTCCCGTGCGCAGGGCCGCCCGGAGGATTGGGGGGGGGGGCTGGGGCAAAGCAATTTCAGGGGCCCTTTAATTAACGAAGGGGCTTTTTAATTTTCACTCACCCAGCAGCGCTCCGGGTTTTCGGCGGCAAGACCCGGAGCGAGGGAAGGCCCCGCGGCCGAAGGGCTGCCGAAACCCGGCGCGCCGGCCCCGTCTGTGAACGCGCCGCCCGGTGAGGGAAAGCACCTCAGCGGGTGGCAGGTTTTTTGTGTTCTCCCCCCCCCCACTATATAGTTGCAATACTATATTCTCGTGGGGGCCCCTGTGGGGCCTGGGGCAAATTGCCCCACTTGCCCCCCATTCTGGGCAGCCCTGCCAGTGCGCCATGGCCGGGGGCCGCCCCGCGGTTAAAGGGGCTGGGGGCTGCGCCCTGTTTGGCTGACGGTAACAGTCCAGCAGCCCCGCCCTGATGCAGGCCACACTCTCCCCCCAAACCCCGCCTATCCCTTGGGGGGCCGGTCTGTGGGGGGTCCACACTCCCCCCCGGCCCCCTCCTCTCCCTTGGGTGCTGGTCTGTGGGGGTCCACATTCTCCCAGGCCCCCTCCTCTCCCTTGGGTGCTGGTCTGTGGGGGTCCACACTCCCTGCGGCCCCCTCCTCTGCCATGTGGGGGGCCAGGCCGTGGGGGTCCGCACTCCCCACGGTCCCCTCCTCTCCCATGGGGGCCAGTCTGTGGGGGTCCACATACCCTGGGGCCCCCTCCTCCGCCATGGGGGCCGGTCTGTGGGGGTTCACACTCCCCATGGCCCCCTCCTCTGCCATGGGGGGCTGGTCTGTGGGGGTCCACACTCCCCACGGCCCCCTCCTCTGCCACGTGGGGGGCTGGTCCATGGGTGGCCGTGCTCCCCACTGGGCTTGTGACCATACAGTCTAAGTGCATTGGGATCCTTGCTCTCATGCTAGTGCAGAGGGACAGGAAATTGTATAGCCCTCGGGGCAGGATCATTGCTCTTGGTTGGGATGTTCCACAGTTTGGGGCAGTGTCCTCAACCTTTCCAGACCACTGTACCCCGTTTCAGGAGTCTGAGCACCCCCAAATTTCACCTCACTTAAAAGCGACTTGCTTAACAAAATCAGACATAAACATACCAAAGTGTCCCAGCCCACCAGTACTGAAAAATTGCTGACTTTCTCATTTTTACCATCGAATTATAAAATACATCACTTGGAATATAAATCTTGTACTTACAGGTCAGTGTATCCTATATAGAGCAGGATAAACAAGTCATTGTATGAAATTTTAGTTTGTACTGACCGCGCTAATGCTGTTTATGTAGCCTGTGGTAAAACTAGGCAAATCTCTGGAGGCGATGATGTAGCCCTTGGAAGACCCCCGCATCGCCCCAGGGGTACCCGTAACCCTGGTTGAGACCCACTGGCTTCAGGTAAGGCTCATGTGGGCCAGTCTGGTTTAAGGTCTGGAGTAGCATGGCCCATGCTCTTTGCATTGCCCATGCTCCTGCACGCTTGCTCTAAGGAGAGCTTCGGCTGGCAGATTTTTCTTATCTGCTTTCAAAACCCACCAGCTTTCACTGACCCAAAGACCCATTCCTGGATTCCAAGGCCAGAAGGGACCTGTGATGTTGCACTCTGTATGATTTTATGAAAATATGCTGATGAGTATGAGTATGATGTAACTGGAATATGCTTCATGCAAAAGGTCTCTTGTAAGGTATCATTACAAAGCTTATAATCTACTAAGTGTGGTCATCCTATTTGTGTAAATGTATCACACTTGTATCTGAAACTAGAAATATGAAATATAACTCTGCGGGCCTATTGTAATTATGCAAAGTGTGGGCCATTAATGGTGGTTGGGAATCTTGATGGCTCCCATCAACGAGGACAACAGACTGTGGATGGCTCTGTTTGTAGACAAGCCTTCTGTGAGACAGGTAGGAAGGAATGCCGGCTTGGAGTCTCACAGGAAATGTGACCATGTCACCTGGTACTGAAATCCATCTTAAACCCAGTGCTTTTCCATTTAGAAGGGGTGGAGAGACCCAGAGAGACAAAAGATTCCCGTCTTGTGCCAAAGCCATATAAGTGGGTGGAACAGAACAAAGTGGGAGGCCATCATGAGGAATCCCCTAGCTACCAACTGAGCTGGAACAAGGGCTGTACTAGGGGAAAGGATTGTTCCCAGACTAGGAAGGTGTCCAGTCTGTGAAAGAAACTTATTGAAACATCGCTGAGGGTGAGATTTTATCTGTATTCAGTTTTATTAGTGTACTAGACTTAGACTTGTGTGTTTTATTTTATTTTGCTTGGTAATTCACTTTTTTCTGTCTGTTACTACTTGGAACCACTTAAATCCTACTTTCTGTATTTAATAAAATCACTTTTTACTGATTAATTAACCCAGAGTATGTATTAATATCTGGGGGGAGGGGGGCAAACAGCGGTGCATATCTCTCTATCAGTGTTATAGAGGGCGAACAATTTATGAGTTTACCCTGTATAAGCTTTATAGAGGGTACTTGTATAAGCTTTATACAGGGTAAAACAAATTTATTTGGGGTTTAGACCCCGTTGAGAGTTGGGCATCTGAGTGTTAAAGACAGGAACACTTCTTAAGCTGCTTTCAATTAAGTATGCAGCTTTGGGGCCCGTGGTTCAGACCCTGGGTCTATGTTGGAGCAGACTGGCGTGTCTGGCTCAACAAGACAGGGTGCTGGAGTCCCAGGCTGGCAGGGAAAGTAGGGGCAGAAGTAGTCTTTGGCACATCAGTTGGCAGCCCCAAGGGGGTTTCTGTGATCCAATCTTTCACAGGACCATTGTGATAATCTAGTCTGACCTCCTGTGTAACACCTGTCAGAGACCTGCCCCACAATAATTCTTAGAGTAGATGTTTTAGTAAAACATCCAATCTTGATTTAAAAATTGTCAGTGTTGGAGAATCCCTGGTAAATTATTGCAATGGTTAATTACTCTCACCTTTAAAAATTTACCCCTTATTTCCAGTCTCAATTTGTCTAGCCTCAACTTCCAGCCATTGGAGCATGTTATAAATTTATCTGCTTGATTGAAGAGCCCATTATTAAATATTTGTTTCCTCTGTAGGTACTTACAGGAAGTGATCATGTCACCCCGCCCCCCCGAACTGTCTCTGTGTTAAGGTAAATAGAGTGAGCTCTTTGAGTCGATTGTAGCCTATAGTTATAGGTATTTTCTCGGTGAGGCATCGGTGGAAGCTAAGGCAGTAATGGAATGAGCCTACAAGCCTCAAGGCCTGTAAGACGATAGTTAAGCTAAATTAAGGCCAAAAAAGCCTCAGCAGAAGTAATTAACCAAGAGTAACCCTCGACCATAAGCTATGAGGAGACAGAACGCTGTAACGACTAAACTGCTGATAGGTAACTGAGATGCTAGTTTATAGCAGCTTTTGATATTTTTAGTCTGGGATATCGGACTACAAGATTGCCATGGTAACTAATTGATATACATGCTAATAAGCTGAAAGTAAAAGGATTAAACTGTATGGGGGAAGGGCACCCCAGCATTAGTAGGATGATGAACTACAAATAAAGGGGTTGAAACCCCTAGTGAATATGCATGAGGCATACTGGCACCAATCTGTATCCCAGCCTGTGCGCCTTGGACGATGCCAAAATGATGCCTACCAGTGATGATGGTGACTATGAAGGGGAAGGAGAGGGGGAGGAGGGTGATAATGACAAACATTTTAGGTTGTTTTGCAAGGAACGGTGTGAGTATATGGATATTCAGCTCTACATTCTGTAGTCTGGCTGTCTACCTTGCTGGATGAGAGTGTCTGTGACCTTGCTAACTGTATTAAGACGTACTATTATAAATATCATGTGATTTCCTACGTGTGAGTGTTGCAACCATGCACAGTGGGGTTCCCAAATGAACAGTAATTTTAATAATACTGTGCCTAATTTTGAGACAAGAACCTGTCAAACCTCAGAGTGTTAACCAGGAATTCTTAATCAATAGATCCAGCAACTCTATCACTATAAGGCTAGTTTTCTAATCCTTTAATCATTCTCATGGCTATTCTCTGAACCCTCTCCAATTTATCACCATCCTTCTTGAATTATGGGCACCAGAACTGGACTGGGCTCTTTCATGGTAGTCATGTTGATTTTCTCTAGTGGTTTGAAGCATTCTGGTGTATTTTGCTAAGTGTAGTGACATGAAACTTCTCACAAGCGGATGGTCTGAGGGCCCCCTCCTTCGACACCTCTCAAAGAGTGGGAGATATACACATCTTTCATGTCTTTAGAACATACAAATACATAGTCTAGCATATGCCATTGTTTTGACCTGGGATGCATCCTCGTTGCCTTACATTTGTTGGCCTGTTGGAAGACTGTGTTGGTAATAGTGATATTGAACTGGACAGAAGTAGTTGACTATTGGAGTTTGACCTTCCAATGCCTTAACGTCCTAGTACCCAGCTCCCCGTGTCAGAATCATCTCTCACAGGAGCATTAAAGTCTCCAAGGACAATGAGTTTGTCCTGGTATGGCACCCCTTTGATGACCTTGCTGAGATCTTTATCAAATGCCTCCTTGATCTCGGCTGTATGAGTCATTGTTGGCTCATAGGCGCTGACGATGGTGGTATACTAGTCTCTGGACACGTTTTTGCGGAGCACCATAAATCGGTCGGCTTATGTGGCGCACTGTAAGCCAATCATTGACTCCCTTGGGGAGTGAGTCAAGCTTCCAGGCAATGTCAGACCATATGGGGAACCCTACCCCTGGCTATCTTAGGTCCTCCTTGCCCTTGCCAATCCAGTAAGTGAAGTAAATTAAGTCTGCTCCTCCTCCTCAAGGTGGGACCCATCACAGTGTCCTGTGTAAACATTTAAATATTAATGTCCTTCTTCCCACTCACCAGTACTGTTTCTAAACAATGCATTGAACAGGCTGTGGAAGCATCAACCGCAACAAAAAACATTTTCCTTTCCCAGCAACCAAACATGCCTACCTAGGACTGGAAGGGACCTCCTCGGCCATAGAGTCTCTGTTATCACAAACAATCCTGTCAAATCATCCTGTATAAGAACTGGTTTGGAATTAGAATCCTCCTACCCCATAGTGCCAGGCTTACATCCTGTCTTCATTTGAATCCCACCCGGCGCTCCACTTCTATGAGGGCCAGAAATATTAGCCCATATCAGTATTACAGCATCACCACATCCCGGAAACAAAACGAGAGCTCTCCTAGGTTACCCCTGCTCTGCCCCTCTCTGTGCATCCTGTCTGTCTGCAGCTCCAATGGGCCTGCTTCTCCTCTCACAGTGCTGTGAATTCAGAGCAACCCCTTGAGATCCCCATTCTCCCTTGCTCCTTCCACTCTGCCTCCATGATTTCCTCTCTCTATTCCCCACCGCTATTCCTCTCCATTCTCTGGGTCCACCTCCCCTCGGCCTCCTCTTCTCTTTGAAACTCAACTCAGAATCCACAACTTCTACATTGCCTACAACCTCTGAGCTTTCCTTCAGGTCCTCTCCTTGCTACCAACCCTTCCTGCCTCCCCTGTCTAACCCCAACACACCCCGCTGCCTGTCACGAGAGAGCTGTACTCAATTTAATAACCTTGCATCTTGCATGCCAAGCGTCCAACATCTTGCAATACCCAGAGCAGGCAAATCTTACCAGAGGCACACATCAGCCATTCTCTTCCTACCGCTAGCTTACAAGAAGCAGAAGCCTGCACAAGGCTCCAGCCTTTCACAAATGGGGCCCTTGGGAGGAGGCGTTCCCACAGCTGTTGGATCCACTCCACTTTGGTTTGTTAGAGGTGATAGTGAAGGTTCTTGAGCTGCCAGGCCTCAATATTAATTTGTTTCAAATTTAAATACCCTCCCACTGAGATGTGCCGTGAGGTTCTCCGGCCAAGCAGCCCTCAGAATTGTTTCAACATGGCATGCACTGGTGGAAAACGTCAGGCCTGAAATGCTCCCAAGACCTATACAATTTGTGGGGCTTAGTCATTTTTTTCTGTGTTGACGTGACCCCTACTCATTAATTGCTTTGATGTTCAGGTGCTATCACAAACTCATTCAGGTCAATGTATGCCTAGTGCCTGTCCTTGGACAGCTGAATCAAGTTATGTCATTCCTTAACACACTGAGGGGTCTTTCATGGCCCAAAATGAGATCCTCCCATTCCAGATTCAGCAGAGAAGGTTATTGCCTACCTTCTGGTGGATACACCTGCTTGCTGTACTAGAGGGTATGAACGCTCAAAGCCCTCACAGAAGAAGTGTGTTTTCAGGGGCTGGGGTGATGGGTGTGTTTGAATGATGAGAGGAAGGGAGGTACAGGGAGCATGGAAAGGGGGCAAAGACAAGAGCCAAACATTTCAGAAGGGAGGCATGAGAAGCAAGAACCAAGACAGGAGCAGACATGGGACAACTCCTGAGTGTGAGGCTGAGGGGTGTGAACTTGATGGGGAAGCCAGGAAAGGGACCCAGAGCAGAGCTTAACTTGAGCAGAGCAGTGGGAGAAGACAGTTTCTTGTCTGCATTGTTTTATAGGCTGCAGGAAAGTGAGATGGGAGGCAAGGGGGCTGAAGTGACCCAGGTGAAATAGGACTCCGGGATGACTTCCAGGCCATGATGGTTTAGGACGCAGTGGGACCACCCCCGAAACTTTAGGGATGTCTCGCAATGTACCTTTTTATTCACGGTCTAACAAGAGATCTCTGTGATGCTGGCAGACCAGATGCCAGCTCATGCCAAGGCCCCTAGGCCTCACTGAACACTGACAAATGCACAGCTTGAAGCCAGTCTGACTCACCTATGGGTTAGTATTGTTAAAATAGGTTTTAGATTTGTAAAAAAAAATGTGTTTAGACTTTATGAAATGCTTGTAGGATGCTGCATGTATTAATCTGACTTATAACAGCTGTACCCCATGTTGTAAGGAAATACATAAGTATTTGCTCTGTAACTATAAATGCGTTTGCTCTAAAACTGTTACCCCCCCCAGTCAGTACAGAGGCGTTACCAAGGGTGAAATACTGGTTTACCACAAGAGGCGTCATCTTCTGCCCAACGAAAGAAGGCCCAGGGACCAGACAAGCCATTGTGGAACATCAGTGGACAAAAGACTCCATTGATTGCTCCCTCAGCACCCATGAGGAAGAGATGTGCACAAGCACTTGTCCCATCACCTTGAACTCTGGGGGAAGAGAATAAAAATCCTGGACAAGAAAGAACTGTATCTCTATGCTGCTTGAACTCTGACGGGTGAATATTTCTAAGCATAAGCGAGGGATCCCCAACTGTTTGGCCTAGGATGGCCCTAAAGGACATATAGAGCTTGAATATTACAGCTGCTTCTATTACCTTTTGGAGTCTAAGATTGTAACACGTTTGTGTGTGTATGTTTATCTGCTTTAGCCTTGTACATAACTCTCTTTTCTTAGTTAATAATTTTTTAATTAATTATAGGATTGGCTACAAGCACTGTCTTTGGCATAGGATCTGAGGTGCAATTGATCTGGGGTAAGTGACTGGTCCTTTTGGACTGGGAGTAATCTGAATATCATTGTGATTTTTGGTGTAAGGGATCATCTATCACAAAGGTAAGCTTGCCCGGGTGGCAAGATAGACCGGCATGCCCAAGGAGACTGTCTGTGACTCTATGTTAAGGCTGTCATAATCCTTGAGGAGTTCAGACTGGATACTTGGTTGGTGAAATATGAACACAGAACTCTGAGCCAGCTTGGGGTTTGTGCCCTGCTTCTTCACAATCTGCTCTGAGGTGGGTACTCACACTTGCGAGCCACTCTAGGCAGCTTGACAAGCTCCTCAACATGTGAAGTGCCGTGTGATCTGAGCTTAGTACATCCAAATTCAATTTTTGTCTCTTTAGCCCTTTTCTCTAACAGGTTGTCTAATTAAAAGGTACAGAGATCAAATTTCAAATGTGGGGCTTCTTAGAAGGACACTCAGATCCTCAGATCCCTGATCAATGGCTCCATGTCTAGTTGGCAGCCGGTATCAAGTAGAGTGCCCCAAGGGTCGGTCCTGGGGCCGGTTTTGTTCAATATCTTCATAAATGATCTGGAGGATGGTGTGGATTGCACTCTCAGCAAATTTGCGGATGATACTAAACTAGGAGGAGTGGTAGATACGCTGGAGGGCAGGGATAGGATACAGAGGGACCTAGACAAATTGGAGGATTGGGCCAAAAGAAATCTGATGAGGTTCAATAAGGATAAGTGCAGGGTCCTTTTTCACTTTTTCACTAGGAGGGTGGTGAAACACTGGAATGCGTTACCTAGGGAGGTGGTGGAATCTCCTTCCTTAGAAGTTTTTAAGGTCAGGCTTGACAAAGCCCTGGCTGGGATGATTTAATTGGGGATTGGTCCTGCTTTGAGCAGGGGGTTGGACTAGATGACCTCCTGTGGTCCCTTCTAACCCTGATATTCTATGATCCCCCAAGATGCTCAGCTCAGCAGCTAAACAAGTAAATGCCCATTCATCAAATCCACCATCCAGGCACTTTCACTGCAACTTAGGGCTGATTTGAGCATGACAGATAGATGTCCTGCTAAGGTCCCCAGTGAAATTCTCTTCTAAAGGACTGATCTGGAGCTCCCAACTCCACTTCTGATCATTAGATCTAGAGATGTGCCAGAGCGCTAATGCATGGCTCCAGATCTGAGCTTCTCCAAATTTTGAAGGTGCCTGTTACCAAGGTTTTATTGTGAACCACATGATATTTTGGCGCAATCTGTGTGTGGATGCATCAAAACAATTTGCTTCCCACATTAACCTTCTGCATAGAAAGAAAAACAAATTGCCACCTTGCCAGTGGGGAGGATAAAGACAGGACACCTTGCCAGGGCTGAATGTTGTTATTGATGGATCTGTTATTGTCACAGCTGCTCAGTTAGAAAAGAATGGACTCGAACGGATGCTCCCATAAGCTGCAGCCTTCTTATCTGCAGCCTATCAGTCCTCAGGAAGAGTGTGAAATTACGTTTGGCCGTTGAAAGAGGAGCTAGCTAATGGGATAATCTGATCCACAGGGATGGATGATCTTTACAAACCACTGTCAACAAAACCACGTTCCACTGGCCAATGACAATGCATCTCTCAGCAACCACCGAGGCAAGTGGAGCAAGCTAGTATGTGCAAGCAAGCAGGCTGTGCATCTGGCTGCACTTTGCGCTAACAAGCCCAATTCGAGAATTGCATCCTCAGGCCGAGCTCATGCTCTGAATGTTTGCGTGACTGAAAGATACGCGGGTGGGGCAGGTACTGCAAGGAGCATCGGCAGGGTGCGAGACCAGGCGGCCATGCAGTGTATTGTGGTGCAGCCTGAAAGAGATGCAGGTTTAGAACGTTAGAACAAAAACATGATAGTCTAGTTGCAATGTGGTCGTGCCTGGTGGCTGAGATTGGGACCCCCCTGTACTGTACCAACATGTCATAAGAAACAGACCCTGCCCCAAAAACCTTGCAATTACAGACAAAGGAAGGACTTTTATCCCCATTTTATGGATGGGAAATTGAGGCACAGAGAGACCCACGCACTCAATGCCAGAGCCTAGCACTCCAGAGTCCCACGCTAGAGCCTTACCCACACACCCACCCTCCCTTTCAGAGATGTAGCTTATTCACAGTAACTTCACCAAACTCCCAACTAAAGTCCCAACTAAATCCCCTGGACGAAACTCTGGCCTCAGTGGCACAATTCCCACTGACTTCGCTAGGGCCGGGATTCCACCCCCCTGCGGACACCAGCAGCAGTCTGTGGCAGGGATACCCATGGAGTCCCAGACGGCAGCCTACAGCTTCCCTCTAGTCTGTAATGGTAGGGGAAAGGCAAGGCTGAGCGATAGCAGGCTGTCACTCTGCAGTGTGTGCTAGTCAACACTCAGGGCTGATACAGAGCCAAAGAAAAGTCCTGGGGCCTGATCCTGGCCCATTGAAGCCCAGGAGAGCATTGGCATTGCCTTCAGCAGGCAGAGGGTCAGGACTCGGGGTGGCAGCCTTTCCCCCCACAACCAAAGAGATGTGACCACAACATCATCTTGACTCACGATCTTCTGCTGTAGCAACCAACCCTTGTCCGCTCATGACCCCTCCTTCTCCCCTTTGTATGATGTCATCCTTTTTGGTGTCATAGCCAATAAATGGCCAAATTCAGGAGCACTAGCATCTCCCAACACCTATCATGAGGTTGTGGGGGCTTAGCCCTTTCTGGATTGTATCCACAGCCTGTGATCTGCGCCCACTGGAGTCTGTGGCAAAGCTCTCACCGAATTCCATGGGAGCTGATGGTTAGACTGGAAGCATTTGGGGGCAGAGCTCTGCCATGCTCCTGGAGCCTGGGGTGCTGCAGACAGCCCTACCTGGCCTCCCTGTCTTTGGATTCCCCAGTGCTTTGCAGCCCTATTATCGAGGCCAGCTGCCCTTCCCCCACACAGAAACAGTCATGGTTTGGTGTAACAGGCACATGCTAGCCTCTGGGGAAAATACTGAAACAAACCAGAACGAAATGCACAGACAATGACCATTGTAACAAACTTGTGCAGCATGTCTGGCATCTCCCACCTTGAGTGGCTGGTCTACCTGGAGGATAATTGCCTACTACTGCTGCCTGCTAGTGGAGTTACTCCTTTAGCTCAAGTGGGAGGTGTCTGTGCTTTAGCACTGAAGGTCCCAGATCCAACCCTTCCTAATGCCCCAATGAGGTAGGTTGTCATGGATGTTTCTTACAGGATGGCTGGTTTTCAGGTAGACTCTCTCTGTGCCGGCTTGTCCTCTGCTTCATTCAGGAGAGCCATTCGCCTGCTATTCTGAAGGTGCACTGATCTTGCTCTTAACTGGACAACAGCTGCATTCTCCTCTGAGCATGGGCTGGACACAGCTTTGCAAATTTCACTGTCACCTTAGAAAATAAGAAAGCCACATAGACATTGTGTGACAAGACCGTGATTCACAGAATGCTGCTATTCTGACCGGGTGCTGGAACAAGTTGTATAGTCGGGGTTCTGAGAGCCATTGAACCAAAACGGTAAACCCTGTATATAATGGAAACCCCTTCAAGCCCGAGGCTGCTGCAGCACCCCCCTTCACTCCTAGCTCCAGCACTTATGTATTCTGAGATTCCACAGCTGTCAAACCTGCCCCCGCAACAGTGGCTAAAATCAACAGCCACTCAAATATCAATATCTTGGCCTGATTTGTTCTGCTGAATCATCCCTGTTAGGACAGACTGACCACAGAAATAGGACTTGACTCATCCCTCATCTGAAACTTACAGTGTTAAGCAAACCTAACAAATAATGAACTGATGAGAATATTCTGCATCAGTAGATCTCCAAGCACTATATAAAGGTTGGTCAGTATCATCCCATTTTATGGATGGACAAAGAGATGCAAAGCGACATGCCCAGGACTGCCCAGCATGTAAGTGGCAGAGCTGCAAATAGAACCCAGGAGTCCTGTCTCCCAACCCTATGCTCAGTGTACTACTGTTTCTGCAACCAATAGAGTCTTCTATAAAACACAAAGCTTTTCAGGGATTTTGAAGCTGGGCTAGCTCAAAGGGAATGGCCCAAAGGGTAGATCTACACAGCATTTAAACACCTGCAGCTGGCCCGGGGCAGCTGACTCAGGCTCCTGGGGGTTCAGGCTGTGAAGCTGTACAAATGCTGTGTAGACATTTGAGCTCTGGGAAGCCCCTTGAGGGGTCCCAGAGCCTGGGCTCCAGCCTGAGCCAAAATGTCTACACCACAATTAAAGAGCCCCTTAGCTTGAGCCAGCTGACATGGGCTGGCTGCCGGGTTTAATTGCTGTGTAGACATTACCCATAGAGCCCTACAATGTGGCTTCTGTCAACTACCTCTCAAACAGCAAGGTGTGGCCTGCCCCAACCCTGGCTGCCAGCATGCAGTGCTCCACTAAGCAGAAGGCTGCTCTGGCCGTGAAAGCATGCTGGGACCTGGTATTGCGGCAGGACGGCTTCCTGAATAGGATCGGAGAGACCCGAGGAGGAGTCACTGCACCTTGATTCTGCACCTCTTTTCTGAGCTCTGCCTGCAGCGGCAAGGGCTGGGCGGGAGTGGAGGAGTCCACCATCTTGCGCCGTCTCTGCAGGATGGACTGCAGCTGGGCGTCGTTGATCTTTCGGCTGTGTTTACGCCAGCTCTGTTTTCTGACCGGCCTTTTCATTGTGCCCTGACAAGAGGAACCGGTGCACGTCAGTGGGCGGCTCAGAAAGTGAGAAGCACAGTTCCCACCCGCCCAGGGGCTGCGCGCGCAGGCCTTTCAGCTCACTCTCAGAGATGCTCTGGGGCTGAGCCCCCAGTTGCCTAAAGGGGCAAATCAGAAATGCCTGTTTCAGGTTTGTGGCAGAGAGGGGACTTGAACCTGTGTCGTGCCCCACATCCTAGGCGAGTTTTCTAACCACTAAGTTAAAGGTTGTGTCTACATGTGTGTGTGGGGGCTGCATGACTGCCTCCTCCTTCTCTGGCTGTTTTGGGAATGGCTGAAACCATTTATGTCAAATTTGTGACTAGCTTCCAGTCACCCGAAGCTACATTTTTCTTCGAATTAACTATTTGTCCGAAAAAAATGTCCCCTGCTCAGACCTCAACCCCTTGAGTTGATGGAGAAGCTCCACTGGGGGTCATGTCTACACTACAATCTTAAGTTGACCTAGGTCAACGTACAGCCTAATTACTCTGGTGGCCAATGTCCACATTACCCTCCTTCTGGTGGTGGTGCGTGTCCTCACCAGGAGCACGTCCACCGACTTAGGAGAGGAAGTGTGGGGGGCTGAGTGCCAGGGCTCTCTGCTCCATGCAGATCCCCTCTAGGAGCCCAGCAGCCGCCTGGGGCTTCTCGCAGCTGGTGGAGAAATCCGCCCCCGCAGTCTGGTCAGCTGCTGTATCCCCAGCGGGAGCCTGCACCCTGGGCATCAGCAGGGTTCCCAGCAGGGAGCCCAGGTGGCAGCCTGGCTTGGAGAAGAGACCCAGCAGCAGCCCAGCTGGGGAGCCAAGAGCTGGCTTTCTTATCAATTTTGGAGCCATGAAATTGTCAAGACAGCTAATAGTGATATAAGTAACGCAGAGTCTACACAGACACTGCGTCACCCTAACTACACCAGCATAAGCCCTACACTGCTCCTCGAGGTGGAGTTACTATGGGCTTGGCTACACTTGCGAGTTAGAGCGCATTAAAGCAGCCCTGGGCGCCCTAACTCCTAACGTGTCCACACTGGCAAGGCACGTGGAGTGCCTGGACTCTGCAGCTGGAGCGCTCCTGGTAATCCACCTCCACGAGAAGCATAATGCTTGCTGCACCCCAGCTGAAACGCTCGGGCGTCAGTGTGGACGAGGTGTTGCATTACTGTGCTCTGATCGGCCTCCGGAAACGTCCCATAATCCCCTGAAGTCAAGTGGCCACTCTTCTCATGATTTTGGAATCGCCGCAGGCATGCGGATATGCCCTTTCAAAGCTCCGTTCTGACAGCCGGCTGCTTATCTGCTCCAGGACAAAGCAACCATCGCTGTGGGATGTTGCTACTGTGAGTGTGAGAGAGAGGCGGAGGGAGGAAGGGGGTCTGCTGCTGTCTGAACTTACAAGACAGCATGCTGACACTCTCAGCCCCCCAAAACACACCGTCTCTCCCCGCACATACACACAACACACCCCCTGTCACACTCCACTCCCCCCGATCTGAAAAGCCCGCTGCAGCCACTTGCCCACTGGGATAGCTACCACAATGCCCTGTTCTTAGTGGCATTGCAAGAGCGGCTAATGTGGCCATGCCAGGGCGCTTGCAGCTGACAGTGTAAACACACAGCGGCGTTTTCCCTGCTGCGCTCTACATCTGCGAGTGTTGCCAAGCCCTGTGTCGGTGCAGTGGGGCACTTACATTGGCGGCAGCAAGGGCAGACACTGCGTAGACACGGACGCAGTTAGATTGACATAAGCTGCTTTATGTCGACCTAACTCTGTAGTGTAGACCAACTTAGCAGTAGCAGGCTATTATCCAGCCGCAAGAGAGGTAAGCGACACACGTAACTGTGAGAGGCATTCAAGCCAGAAAACACCCCCACATACCACTCTCCACACGTCTAGTGAGACAGGTTCACAGAGTGTCGTGAAGGTCAAGACCCAGTGGGCAGCACCACAGACTCTGCTGTCAACCTGATTCTGTGGATTTTCCAAACCCAGAAAAATGAAGTGGTGGCAAAATTGTCAAGCTTGCTTTCTTTCCCCGCTCCCAACATGCGAGCAGGGCAGAGATCAGGCAGTCAACAGCTGGATGTTTCAGGTCCTCCCAGCATGAGCTGTTCAATATCCAGTCAGACATCGTACAGGGGAAATGCGGAACCTTCCAAAGCGGAGAGCAGGTTTTATTTTTAATTTAAATTTTTTTTTAAAAAAAGGAGAGTGGGGGGGAATTGAAACTCACATCAAGAGTTTCCAAGGGCCAAAAAAAAAAAAAAAAAAAAGTTCATTTACAACAGAAAAAGCCTCCCCAATTTGCAAAATTTTGAAACTTTCACATGCTGGGAGCACAGCTCCAAGGCCCTGCGGTGAGCAGCCGAGGTAGGAGGGTCAAGGCACGTGAGTCAAGTTAAAGATCAGGCTCCCTGCACGGAGTGAGCGGATTATAAGGACCCAGAGGAAAACGGGGCAGGAAAGGGGTGTGAAGGAGGAGGTGCTTAAGCCTGATACGCATCCTGCTACTCAGCTATGGAAGGGCTCTGTCCTGGAGTAGCTTGATGAAGGCACGTTCCTGCAGGACAGGGGACTCCCCTGCACGCCCCACCTTGCTCAGCTTTCTGCACCTGTCGTGAGCAGGACCACGCCTGGGTGGAAATGTACAGGGTTCTCCCAGGCACCGGTGCCTTTCTGCACAGCAATGCTTACCAGGATCCCTTGCAGCTCCATCACGGTGCTCTTGCGTTTGCTGGCTGCTGTTGAGTGATCCTGAGAGGGGAGATCCCTTGAGAGAGGATTCTGCTGTCCCTCCTCAGAGCTTTACCCCCACACCCCAGCACAGACACACCCGGTGCTCATATCCCAGTGGCCCGGGGTCCTTGGCCTTTCTCCTGAGGCTGCCAAACAAGCCGGCCAACAAGGGCTGGGTGTAGACTGGCATTCAGTGACATTAACCCCCCTCCCCTGGGAAACCACCCATTCACCTCACATTGGGCATTTATGAGCTGGTAAAGAGCCTTGGCATCTATCTGCCCCATGCCAGAGTCAGACTGGTGTGCGAGAGGGGAAGGGCTCCACAGCCCATTCCCCAGGGCTGGCTGGATCTGGGGCCCTACAGAGGAAAGGCCCTGTCCAATCCTCCTATTTCCCTCCTGGAGCCAGCCAACTGCCCGTCGAACCCACGGCTGAATTGGAACCCCGGCAAAAGGCCCAATATCCCACTCCTGGACTCCCCTGCCGGAGCCAGGCCCATGAAATCGGTTTTCTACATCCCACGACGCTGGCTATTACAAGTGCCATTGATAATGGGTCTGCACTCCCAGGTGGATGTCAGGGACCAAAGCCTCCCTTCCTACACCCTGGTGCCACCGTTTACCTGGGACAATGCAGCCCTGTCCTTCTTTGCTGGTCTCAGGGCAACCCCGCTCTTGATCCTGGCCATCATTTCCTCCACTGCTTGAGCTTTTATGTCATCGGTAGCAGGTTTGCCTGCAGCCATAGGAAGAATGAAGCTTATTATTCATATTTCCGCAGTACCTGGGAGCCCCAGTCAGGACCCAGGCTCCCGGTGTGCTAGGCACTGTACAAACACGGAACAAAAAGATGGTCCCTGCCCCAAACAGCTGACAAACTAAGTATAAGACAAGAGACGACAAACGGAGACAGACATGGGGAGCACAAGGAAACCGTGGGACAGCACTGGTCAGCATGACAGGTAGTGGTCTCTGCACTTCAGCGGCCTGGGCCCTGGCCATCGTCCAGTGTTTTGTAAACATCATGGCAAAGGAGAGTTCTGACAGTGGATGGCGAGGTGACTTTATGGAGGTTTATGGGGAGTGCATCCCAAGAGTGTGAAGAGTGAAGGATCAAGAAAAATAAAACAGAGCCCATGTTTAAATCTCCCTCTATGTCCAACAGCAATGGAGGTGGTTCAGAGCCCCACTAGGTCTGCGATCCTGTGGAGAGGCACGGACTGGCCACATGACATCACAGGAACCAAAGGGACAATGGATGAAACTGGGAGGTGGCGGTAGCAAAGGAAATATTTGTTCACAGTGTGTAATTAACATGTGGAACTCACTGCCACAGGATGCTGTTGAGGTCAAGAACTTAGTAAAATTCAAAGAGGGGGTTGGACGGTTCCTTGGATAACAAAGTTTGGAAGGGATCTTAAACCTTATATTTCAGGACTTGTGGCAATCTGTTAGAGACCAGGATGAGACCTAGTGTGTGTGGGGGGAAGGCAAGCAGATTATCCCACATCTGTACGGTGGGGTTTTTGCACCTTCCTCTGAAGCATTTGGTGCTGGCCCAGTCAGAGACAGGATCCTGAGCGAGACGGGCCATAGAGCTGATCCACTCTGGCAGTTCCAGTGTAACGCTTTGTCCTTCTAGCATGTCTCTCATCTGAGGATCTCCAAGCACGCCACACACACCAGCCTCACAACCCTCCGCCAGAATGACGCAGGTATCATCAACCCTCTTTTACCTCGGGGAAGCCGAGAGTGGGAGAAACTTGTCCAAGGACACACAGCGAGCCAGTGGCAGACCTCCTGGATGTGTGCTTCAAGCACAAGCCCAGCCACTCTCCTGTATAGCTGCATATTCTGGTAGCATCCTCTGCACTTGAGCAGGGAAACTTGAAGAATCCCTTCCACACTGGTTTAATCCCCCCGTGGATCTGTATCTATCTCTGGGACTTATCTGCCCCTCCCCCAAGTATCTGAGCACCTCACAATCTTAATGTACTTATTCTCAAAGCCCATATTACAGGTAGGAAAACTAAGGCACAAAGAGACTCAGGCCCAATGGTTAAAATCAATGAGAGTGAGGTGCCTAAACACCTTGGAGGATCTGGGCCTCCGTGACATGGCCAAGGCCACAGATGGACTCAAACCTGAGTCTCAGGCTAGCACTGTAACCACTAGACCACCTTGCCCATTCAGCAGCTGTGACCATCTGGGCCCTGTTCAATACATTCACTGCAGCACCCAAGCACCACGGAAACGCCGCCCAGCCAGTAACGCGCCGTAGCCCTGCAGCAGCGGGCTGGTTTCAGCCAAGAGTCCCATGGCCCTCCAGAGAGACAGACGGGATGATACACTGCCTCCACCCCATCCCCTCCCCCTCAATGCGGAGAGGTCAGCGCCCAGGGGAAGGAGAGCACTTGAGTGCGCCGTGGCCCCATGCCACCGGAGTGCCAGGGGATTTGGCTTTAGTGCCGTGAGGGATGCCTCTCGAGTCGGAGTCGGGTGGCTGTCAGGGCTGGCTTACTGGGTTTCTGTTGCCGCGTCCCCTTCCTTTGTTTGATCATCAAAAGGGGACTGAAAAGGAGAGAGACGTATCAATGCATTGTCATGGATAGCACTCAGGGCCCCACCTGGCCCCACTTCTCTGCTCTCTGCCTCCAGCCCGACCCCACCATTCTCTCCCAGACTGCCACACCCTCAATGCCCCCCCAGCTCCCTGGAGCCCCCACAATGCTCCCCTTGCCCCAGATCTCTGCACCCCACCTCCCAGACAGCTGATGCCCCCACCAGAACTCCACCCTTTGCCCTCTCACCCAGTAACTCCATGTCTCCCCTGTCGGCAGGCACAGAATCGGGCAGGGTGAGGAGCATGAATGTATAGGGAAGCAGTGTGGGACCCGAGGCTGGGAGAGCAGTAGACAGGGCAGGGAGCTGATGTAAATTGCATTTAATGCTGGTTACAGCCCCAGAGAAAGACCCCCCACAGCGACCTGTAGCAGGGCAGACTCCCCCACTACTCCTTGCTGACGTACGAGGGGTCTGGGGGTCCCTGGATCAACCAACGGGGAGACTCGTCTCTGTGGTCCGTTCTATCCTTGGACTACGCACTGAGCCAGGCAGCATGAAGGGAAAAGGCTGCATGATTCATGCCCCTCTTGTGGCTCCAATGGGCTGGCTGGGCTCTGCTGCCTGCTCCGGACACTGCAACCCGGCGCACGGGGTCACCGCAGGGCTCAGGTTTGGCCCAGTCGCCCCTCCGCCATGATGATGCAGGCTGGCCGGGCCAAACCGGAGTGAGTGGCGCTGCGACCCCATGCGCCGGGTTGCAATGCCACCGCACTAATTTGGCCTGGCTGGTCCTCGGCAGGGCGGCTGGGCCAAACCTGCAGCACCCGGAGGTCGCAAGGCCCGGAGGGGGGAGTCACGCCCAGCGAGCCCTGCAGGACAGGAGCCACTGCTATGGGGTGCATGGGGTACTTATTTAGCACTTTACATGAACATGTATGCTGTATGTCATGGGTAAGAAGTATTTACTAACCCAGATGGCTTCTGCACTAAAGCTGTGGACTGGCTCATGAAAGGCCATCGAGGGCTACCTATGGGTCCTGAAAGGCTGAGAACCGCTGGTCTGCAGAAACCATGGGCATGGGCATACGCAAGGCACGGACTAGGAGTGTGCCATGTCCCCGTCTGGTGGCTGGGCTCTGACCGACAGCCAGCTGCTGAGGCCCCGCGAGAGGAGCGACTCCCTCAGGGCCAGCGGTCTCTGTAGGGGAAGGTCTGGGTGTGGGTGGCACTTACTCCACGGGGGCGGAAGATGCTGGCGGTGGCAGAGGAGGTGGAGGTGGCGGGGGTGGGGGCGGAGCCACTTCTGGCGAATCAGGTTCAGAAGGCGGGGCTTCAGCCATCTCCAATTTCTCTTCTAGTAACGTCACTGAAACGGAATGCAGCCAGGAATAGGTTCAGAGCTCCTGGGGCCACAGACACCGGGCTAGAAGGACCCTCGGTCTGACCCAGTAGGGCCGTTCTTATGTCTCCCTCCCAGCCCCCCCCTCCCCCGAGATGCTGGCCCGTGGAGAACTGGCCTTGGACAGCTGGCTGGTCACACGGTGCTGGCTCCTCCCTTCTGTTTCCAGCTGCTAATTAGCATTAAGAAATACACCACGTCAGTTCAGGGCCGAGAGTGCGGGCTGGACAGAGGCTATGTGATTGTACATGAGAAGGGAGGCAGGGGGGCGGTGGAATAGCGGGTGGGGAAGCAGGGCTGGGTGATGGGGGAAAACAGGAGGGGAGGCAGGACCTGGTGATGGGACGGGAGGTGAGGCTGTGGGGGGTCGAGCTAGTAAAGAGATCAGCCTAAGTCAAACCCTCCCCCACGCCAATTGGATCCGCTTGCCCCCAAAGCTCGGAGAGGTTTGAAATCCAGCTCCAGTGCTGGGGTCTCATCCGCACGAGGGGCTGAAGCCCCAGCTCTGGGCTCCGCACAGCCTTAGACGTGGGGGCCGGTCTGAGGCTCTGAACCGCACCGCTGGAGTCTAGCAGCTGTAACATCCCCTTTAATACCAGGCCCACTCACGAGAGGGTGGAGAGACCCTTGGCACGGATGGCTCTCAGACAGACAGCCCGCTCACCAGGAGTGTCCATCAGATCCCAGCTGGGCCTGCCTAGCCCCTGGGCCCGCCTTGGGGGCCCAGAGCAGGGAGCGAGGGCTGGGTGCTCATCGCCAGGTGGAGGGGCCAGCACAGGAACAGTGAGGAGAGCACGTACCTTTCCCCTCCAACTCCATGTTCCTCTCCTCCGCCTGGTGCAGCTGCTTCCCCAGCTCCAGCTTCTCTGCTTCGGCTGCAGCCAGGGCCGCTCGCACTGCGCCCAGCTCCTCCTGGCTCTCCCCTAGCTGCTCTTCCAGACCCTTCACCTGAAGGCAGAAGAGAAGAGGCGTGCAGGGGGCAGGAGAGTTTGGAAGAGGTGGCCTCGTCCCAGCCCAGGAGGCCCCCAGTCATTCACCTGAGAGACACATGGTGCTCCCCGGCCATCCACCCAGGGAGCCACTCCAGCACCAGGGCGTGTGCCTGCGGCCAAGGCCTGGCTGCTTGGAGAGAGGTCACTTAGGACACCCGTGGGCTGCCTGCGACATACAATATTACATGGTCCATCTGTCTGTGTGGTTTGCTCTAGGACCACATGGGGCGGGGGTGGGGGGGTGGGACAGTCAAGCAAGAGTGACCTAGGCATATGCAGGAGTGGGGCCCTTAGCCCAGATCGCCCCATTTAGCAGGACATATGGGACCACTCCAGCGTCATTCACTTGGCAGTTTTCCCTGCAACCAGGCTGAGCTCGAGAGTCCGGCTTGGCCCAGGGGTGCCAGCTTGTGAGCCCAGGGAGGATCCGAGTGGGAAAGACTGGACCAAAGAACTTTGCAGGGTGTGGGGGATAAACAGCCAGTCTCCAGTCGCCATGGCAGAGGGGGAGGCAGGGACTGCTGGGGAGTAGGCTGAACCCCAATGCCCACAGCTGAGGGTGTCCGGGATAAGCTAGGCCTCCCTGGGTATGTCTATGCTGCACACTAAGCCGGGCTCTGACTCAGGTTTGAGCCCAAGCCCCACTTCTGTCCACACACACATCAGTCTGATTTGGGCCAGCGAGCACTCAGGACCCAGGTTCTAGGACCTTGCTAGGGGGGTGGGTCAGAGCCCAAGTCCTGCTGTGACTTGGATCCAGGCCCTGTCATTTTGCAGTGTGGACGCAGCTCAAGCCGCAGCCCTGAGTCAGGAGGCCTGTGCAGTGCAGTGTGGATGCGTTAGCACGGCTGTGAGGCCTGGGTCTGGCCATGGTACACCCAGGTTTACAATGCAGGGTGGACGTTCAGCAACGCCGAGTCGCAAGCCCGTGTCCCCATGCCTGGATTTACCATGCAGTGCAGACATCCCCCCGCGTCTCTCGATGACAGAGACGTGGGCTAACCCTTCTGCTGGGCCGTGTCCTTACTGCGGCTATTCGGCAGCACTTGGGGGAAGAGGCTGTCGGGTCTCCGTATTCCCTGCTGGTGGCAGCTCCCGAAGGGCAGACTCACAGGGCAGGAGCCCTGGGACCCGGCCTGAGCGTGGGAGAAGGGCAGGATTCCACCCTGGGGCAGGTGGAGGCCCGGGGCCCAACCCTGGGGGGAGCACTCAGAGAGAAGGGTTTGAAGTGCAGCTAGCCCTGAACCTTGACAATCCAATTCCCCGAGCCCCGGAGCTCAGGGCTCCAGAAGAGAAGAGGGAGGGGCTGACAACCAGTCCTACTCCTGGGTGCCGGGACCTCCCAAGCTGCAGCAGGATACTCCTGATGGCCTAGGCCTTTCAGAGAGCAGCTGGGGTCTCAAGGGAGGGGGCAGCTCATGGCCCAACACCCCCCCATGCCATCACCACTATGGAGCAGAAGGCAGCTGGGTCTCATGGGCCCATACAAAGGTCCCTGCTGCTCTATAGGGAGGGGCCATGGGCGGCACTCCCTGGAGAGCCCCACAGCTCAGTAAGCAGATACTGGAGGGGAGGGGGTTGATGATCCAGGCGAATGCCAGGGTTAGCCCAGGCCGTCCCTGGTTACAGATACAGTCCCTGACTTTTTTCTGCTGCTCCTGCTTGGCTTCCTCCAGCATCCCAGTCAGGCTAGCCACCTCCTCCAGGGCCTGGAGCAGCTGGGCGTTGGGTCCCACGTTCTGGAGCAGGATCATGCTCTGCCTGTTGGCTTCCTTCTGCTTCACCAGCATCTGCGCCCAAGAGATTGGGGAGGATTCAATGGAGGGCTCGTGGGCACCGTATCCGCCGCTGAACTCAGCCCGCTGGCAGCATGACCCAGCCGCCCTTTAACGCCGGCTTTGAAGCAGCAAAGCCGCTGGTCCCACGGCCCCACCCGGCTCTGCTCCCCAGAGGCATCCAGTGTCACAGCTGGGCGACGCAGCACGTGACGCGACTCTCTGCTGCTTTTGGAACAGAGCAGTCACCAGGCTCTGTTCCCCGCTCTGCCACTGACCAGCCGGGTGACCCTGGGCAAGTCTCTTCTCTCTGGGGCTTGCTCTGCATCTGTTAAATGCTTGGAGAGTAACGCGTGGAATGTGTTCAGCCTTGTGGCCCATTCAAGGCAATAGGAGGCTTCCACTAACTTCAGTGTGCCCTGGGCCAGGCACTTGGAGAGGCAGGAATTTGTATTTTTACTCCTGTTCGCCCTGCCGGGCCAGCCTGGCTGTGGGGCAGGGAGCCAGGGTCTGTCTCCATCAGAGGCACCCCATACCCACGAGGTATCCAAGGCAGGCAGTGCGAGAGCTGCAGCTGCCAACAGGAGAAGCAGGCCAGGCCGGTGTCCAGCGAAGGGAAGGTGTTTAAGGAGAGCAGCAGGGTCACCGTGGCTGGGGTGTGGGACAGGCCTGGGGCACCGTGGGAGGAAGTGGGCAGCTCTTGGCTTGGCTTCAGGGACAGCCCTAGGCAGAGCGGAGCAGAGACGTCAGCATCGCCCCTCTGTCCTGCTCAGGTGTTCTGCCCCGGCCCATTAAGACCCACCGCTGCTAGCAGGGGAGAGAGGAAAGCAGAGCTGAGGAGCGTTACCCCAGGGCCAAGCAGCTCTTCCCACACACAGACCATCCACTGTCCCCTGACCTCCTGGGCCCTGGCACTCCCCAGTGACCCTCCTGATTCCTAGCATCAGGCCCAGCGTTTGTTGGTCCTCGCAGCACCCCTGGATGGGAGATCGCTGCCCCGCACCACCCTGTACCTCGTGGGCAAAGGTCTCTGCATGCTGCCTCAGGTCCTGCTCCAGCTCCAGCTGCTGCACGGCCTCGCTGTACTCCTGAGCGGCCATCTGGGACACTGCCCGGGGGAGAAGAGCCATCAGCCAGCCTCTCCCCACTTGCGTCCCCAGGGCACCAGCCATGGCACCGACTACCCAATCTCCAGCTCCGTGCCACACCGGGGGCAAATTCAACCCTTGGTTTCGACAGGGGCTGCACCCGCATGGGCTGGGGCAGCGATAAGGGTCTGATCCTGCCCTCCTCCCTCGGGACAAATTCCACCGACGTCAATGGGAGGTTTGCCCGAGTAAGAACTGCAGGATCAGTAATACACCAGCAGCTCTTAGACCTGGTCCAACTGCCCGGCCCTCACTGGATTGACAGTGACCTGCTCCAAGGCTCTACCCCACAGTAAGCACCCTCCTCCCCTTTGACCAGTGCCCCCGCACCCCTCCAGCCATGGCCAGGCCAATTCCAAGGGTGTGTCCCTTGCGTGGCTGCAATAAACAATGCGGGGTGAACGTAACAGGGAGCGATAGCTCAGACCAGCTCAGTTCATGCCCCTCAGCCCTGATCTGCAGCCCCCCACTGCTGCAGGGCTGCCAGCTCTCATGCTTGCACCCCGATTCTCAGGATATTTGGGGGAGGGTGTGCAGCCCCAGCTCCTGGAGTCAGGTGAGACTCTCAGCTATCAGAACTAGCATGGGTATGTCTACCTGAGCTGGAGAGTACACCTCCAGCTGCCATGTAGCCATTGCTTGAGTCTCTCTATGCCTGACCAATGGGGTAACAACACTGCCCTACCTCTCAGGGGCCGTGGGAAGAAGATAAACACATGAAAGATGGGGAGGAGGGACAGTAATGGGGGCCAGATAACTCCCATAGGTGGGTTCCTTGATGGGCTCAGACAGGAGTTGTAGCAACGGATTTTCCTCAGGTGCTCGATGGGACGTGTAGTTCACAGTCACAAAGGTGCTTTGGAGCACAACCGCTAAACATCTAGGTACTCATCAAAATAAACTCTTTGATCCCACCCCTCCGCCCCCCAAGTTCCAGCCGAGCTCTGGGAATGAACCAGCCGGGGAATGGGAAACGAGGAGCAAGCAGAGGGGACAGGATGCAGAAAGGGAAAAAAAACCATGGGAGCAGGTTCCCAGGAAATTCCACCCACAGAGGCAGAGATACAGCTGGGATGGACCTGGCCCAAGCTGTGCTCAATGACCTGGGCTTGGAAAAGCGGGAGGCGGGGGGGGGGGGGGAATATATTTGTGAAACATTTCGAACATTCGGAACTGGATTTCCATTCCACAAGTTTCCAAAAGGCCCAGTTCCCACTTACCAGAAGGGCTTTTTCCCCTTGAGAAAACCTTGTACTGAAAATATTCATTTTTGAAAATGTTCTGAGTCACATTTTGTGTGTGTGTGTGTGTGTGTGTTTCTTATTTATCTGATTTTTCTCCTCCCCCCCTTTGCCATGGAAAAAAGGGAAAATGCTAAACTGAAAAACAAAGGAAAAAACAAACAAACAAAAAAGGGCTAAAGTTTTCATTCGGAGGTTTCACTGGACAACACTTTTCAGTGTGGCAGGCAGGCCAGTGTTTCACTGGAAACACGGCACCGGAGAAGTTTGGAGAGTTCTGCCATGACCGTGCGGTGGACTCACCTCTCTTGTACTTCTTCAGGGCCTTGTGACTCCTGTCCATCGCGGCCTGCAGGGACCCCCTCTCTGCTCGCTCCTCTTCCACCTGCAGTGGGACACCGGGTGTTTGTAGCCGGTTCTTTATTTGCACCAAACTCAGCCCCACTGACTTCAGTGGCCCGTTGGCTTGAGCCGATCCCAGGCTTGATCCAACCCCTGCACCTATGGGGGGGGGGCAGTGTTCACCCCAGGGAGGGCAGGGGGCTGTGCACAGAGAAGCCTTTGGATCTGGCAGGCTTCCCGCTCCCTCCCTCAGACGTCCAGCAAATCCACGCCCAAGCAGCAGCAAAGAGCTGCAAGGACAGTCAGGCACCGGGAAGGCCTGTAACTGCACTAGGGGGTCTCCAGCTTCCTAAGGCAAGTTGAAGGCTGAGAGTGGCACCAAGCGAGCTCTGGACTGGGCTCCGGGGAGCTGAGTTTATACTGGAGCTCAGGGAGGGTCTGTGTGAAACCCTCTGCCGTTAGCGGTGATACTGAAGCCATCAGTCCGCCCCTAGGAGAAAAGTTCTCGCTGTGAACGGCTTCTGCTGTTGGGTTGTGCTGTCCAAAGCCAGTGGCTTAGACTGGGCAACTGCCAGCACCAAGGGCCCTTCAGCCAGCTCGACCGGGCCTATGGGGAACAGCCCTGGCGGAGGGGGGTCCCCAGCAGGTATGGAGCCAGCGTAGGTGGCATGCTGCGGGCATTCCAGGGGTGAGCCGGAGCTCAGCTGCAGTCTGGCAATTCCCAAATGCAGCAGCAGCAGGGGTCAGCAAGGGGAGCAGTGGTCTTAGCACAGCAGTCGCCGAGCTCAGCGAGCATCACGGCCGAGCAGAGCGTCAAGGAGGGGCCGGCATCGGCACCGTACCTGCTCCCCGAGGTCTCTGATCTGGCTCTGCAGCTCCTGCACTTGGATGGTGAGTTCCTTCTTCTCCCCCAGCAGCCTGGAAACCTTTTCCTGCAAATCTGGAGCCAGAGGAAGGGAAATAAAACGAGGCGCCTTCTCTCTCCCTGCTTCGTGCAACAGATCCTGGTCCTATGGCAGCCAGGCCTGAGTGGAGGGCCACATCCGCTCTGTGTCTACAGGCCTCCCTCTCTGTCTAGGGCACGGCGTGTGCTTCAGACTGATAGCTCTCCTAGACTGCTTGTCATCCACCGCTCTCATAGCATCTCCTCAAGGTGGGTCACTAGCACCCTCCCCATTGGACAGATGGGAAACTGAGGCACAGAGCGGGGAGGTGACTTGCCTGAGCTCACTGAGCACCCAGGTCCCTGCTCTATCCACTAGAGAATGCTGCCTCCAAAGCAAAGTCGTCTTAGCTGTCTCTGAACTTTGTGAAGGGAGAGGACGTGTGGGGTCAGACAGGGCTTAAGGGGGCAGGGCTGTGAGGGGAAGAGAGCGGCATATGAACGATGCCCAGTAGGGAGCTAGGCCTTTGGCTCCTCCAAGCATTTCCATGCCACAGAATGAAGTTGTTCCGGGGGAAAGGTGCCACCCTGGCAGCTCTGGAAACTGCAGGCCATGCCCAGCAGGCAATGGAAACACAACCATGGACGGACAACCATCGCGGACCTGGAGAAAACCCCCCTCGGACAGGAAGGGAAGTCAGTGTCCATGGCCTAGGCTGTCCTCAGCCTCTTTAAGCAGTGCCCCAGCACCAGGGAGGGTTTTGGGATGTGGCTGCCTGTCTGCTAGGAGCTGGAATGAGACCCACCAACTCAGCGCACGTAAGCCACCTAATAGCCAGCAGCTGCTTATAGCTCCTACCTTCCTGGGGTTGGATTTCAGCCTGGTCTTTCTTGGTACCTTGTACCCTATTCTGTCTGTGGCGGGCACATTCAGTGCCCCCCGCCTGGGGTCAGACTGGCATGGACGCCCTTAGCCCAACCGCATCCCCAGCTGTGGTTTTCAGTCACCTCTACCCTTGGAATTTCACCCCTTGGGTTCCTTGAAGTGCACCAATGGAGTCTGATTTAGCAACTGGGCCACTGGCGTCAGGGCCCAGTGCATAAGTCCCCCTGCATCTCGTAAACAATTTTATGTAAGTCAGCAAAAGCTGGAGACAGAGCCTGGGTCAAACTGGATTGTTCACATTGAAAAAGCTGGACTTAGGGGTCTGCTGAGCTCCAGGTAAACTCATAAGAACGGCAAGACTGGATCAAACCAAAGGTTCATCTAACTCAGTCTCCTGTCTTCCAACAGTGGCCAGTGCCAGGTGCCCCAGAGGGAATGAACAGAACAGGTCATCATCAAGTGATCCTTCCCCTGTTGCCCATTCCCAGCCTCTGGCAAACAGAGGCTAGGGTCACCATCCCTGCCCATCCTGGCTAATAGTCATTGATGGACCTATCGGCCATGATCTTATCTAATTCTTTTTTGAACCTTGTTATAATCTTGGCCTTCATAACATCCTCTGGCGAGGAGTTCCACCGGTTGACTGTGCATTGCATGAAGAACTCACAGGTTGGTATGGCAACAAGCTGAATAATCCCCAATCTGGTGAAACATGTGCCTAGCTGAAATCTGACGTGTTTCGATTGATTCCTGTTAGTGGGGTGAGGCTGTGTCCCTCCCGGGCCATTGTTCATCACGGGTGGGGGGGTCACTCGGTGGAAGCAAGGGGACATGGACTGGAAGGAGCCAGCTTTGTCATCATGGCTTCCACCTCCACCATCTCCCAGGATGCACCACGACACCACTGGGCTTTCATTGTCCTGGTCCTGCAAGGCCTCCTGTCCAGATCGGGCCAGAGAGAGGGAATCAGACGTGATCGCCTCCTCCGCCGGCTTTGGCTAAATCCTCAACAGCTCCTGGGATGGTAGACGAGGTTCCTGCTCTCACCCCCTTCTTCATGTGTCGTCTCTTATTCCTTCTCTTTCCTCACACTCTCCAGTTGCCTTTGACCAATAAGGGTCTGGCTGAGCCACTCGGGCAGTCCCACCCTGCGATCCGAGAGGTGGCTAAAAGCAACCCCTTCCACAGCCCAATGTTGCTAACAGTTTGCCAGGTCTTGAGTGGCTGATAAGGCCACGTGTCAGGGCTGTGTGTTCTCTAGTCGGGAACGTCAGCACCAGAGAGAGATGTGGCATCTTCTCTCTGTGCTGTTCTTTCCCTTCCCCTTTTGCGTGTCTTTTGTTTAAGGAAAACAGGAGCGATTCCAATAGCAGTTACAACAAAACACTCCAGGTCATCTCAACTAAACTTTGCTTTTATCCCCGCAACAAGGACAGTGTAACAAAATGGGTCCTCCTGGAGCACTCCCTCCTGGCTGGAGATAGCCCCGCAGGACCTCGCCTACATTTCCCCCCATCATAAAATTCCTCAAAGTCCATATTTGCTCTTCAATTCAAGAATGTCCTTGCTACAGGCTAGTTTATTAACACAAATGCTTCAAACTAACCCCTCAAAAGTCAAAGTTTGGAGTCCATCACCATAATACCAAGCCGGGCTCTTCTTCCGCCTCCCTCTTCAGCTGGAGTGGTGGGTTCTCAGACGGCCCCTCCCCAAATCCAAAGCCCAAATGAAACGCACAGAGTAAACAGCATCCACCCACCCAGGGCTTAACAAAAATGCAAAGTAACCAAGCTCTGCCCACTCTGGGTTATGTTCTTAGCCCCTCCTGGGCTCTTTCCAACCATTGGATTATTCCCTTATTGGACCTTCTGTCTCCCTGGGTTCAAAGACATCAGCAGGCAGATCTCCCTCTGCTGATCTCTTGGCCCTGAGCTTTCCCAGCTCTCTCCACCCAGCTGCTCCCCATAACTCCTCTCTGGGGGCACCTAGCTTGCCTGCTCTCTGGCCTTTCTGCCAGCCCCCATCTACTCCTTCCTGTCTCCTTTCCCAGCTGCCGCCTGACCCTTTATATAGGCCAGGTGTCTTCTCTCCAGTCCCATTAGAAAGCAATTAACCAGGCACTGGTGGACTGGGTCTGCTCCCTCTTCATGGGGCCAGCCCGTCTGTGCCATAGAAAAGGCTGTCAAACCGGATGTTCCCGCTATAAAAACCTCTCTAGACAGGGAATAAGGGAAATTGTTACAATGAAAATCTTACACGAGACTTTACATTTCAAAGGCTTTAACTGTTGTCCTCTCTCTTTCTGTGACTTCAGTAAAAGGGTAAAAAGGAGTCACCAGCCATAACATGACACTAAAATCCAAACCTGACTGAAAGGTTGATTGTTATAAAAGTGAACATGGGTGTCATAAACTTATCCTGTGTCGGGCCCGAGACACCCCCTTCTTCCCCTCCCCCCACTTCTCAACACAACAGCACCAGGGTCTGGCCCATGCCAAGGTCTCCTCGGCCAGTGGTTCTCAGCCAGGGTGTGCATCCCCCCAGAGGTACGCAGAGCTCTTCCGGGGGGGACATCAACTCATTTAGAGATTTGCCTAGTTGTACAACGGGCTACATAAAAAGCACGAGCGAAGTCAGTACAAACTAAAATTTCACACAATGCCTTGTTTATCCTGCTCTATATACGATACACTGACCTGTAAGTACAAGATTTATATTCCAAGTGATGTATTTTATAACTATATGGTAAAAATGAGAAAGTAAAAGCAATTTTTCCGTACTAGTGTGGCTGGGACACTTGTATTTTTAGGTCTGATTTTGTAAGCAAGTCATTTTTAAGTGAGGTGAAATTTGGGGGTATGCAAGACAAATCAGCCTCCTGAATGGGGGTACAGTTATCTGGAAAGATTGAGAGCCACTGTCCTAGGCACTACGGGACTACAAACAATAAATTATAACAATAATAGGCTTCTGAATTGGCATCTGGGTATTTCAACAGCAAAGTGAAAGACCTTATATTAGCGTCCAAGTTTAAAAACTGGATTCAGTTTAATTAAGTCCTGGAAAACCCCTCACACCACTCCTTAGGCAAGGATCTCCAGCTGTCAGCGCTGTTATGTCCAAAGTCAGGTAAACCATGACGTTTCTGCTCTGCCCCACAGCCCTAGCTAAATGCCCAAACCCCATCCCAGCACTGGCTCAGTGTAAACACCTGGACTGGATTCCCAGGGGAGAGCCTCTTCTCTGGTTGTTCCCAAGCCTCGGTCTGGGACCCTGGGGCGGATGCGTGCAACTCACCTTTGATCTGCTGCAGGTACGGATATGCTGGATCTCGACTTGGGTCCGCGGGGGAGTCTACTTCAGTGGCCAGACTCAGCACATCCTCAGGAAGCTGGTTCAACATGGGCAACAGTGCCACGCTGATCCGCTTCAGCTTTTTGTTCTCCCTGTTCACCTACACACCGGGGTGCAAGAACAGACAAGAGCCCTTTGTACTGAAGCAGAGTGCAGGGAGGCTGCAGGAAATAGAACTCAGAGTATCTTTTACAACCAGAGGAAATGGGAACATAGGCCGGACTGGATCAGAACCAAGGACCATCTAACCCAGGAATCTGTCTCTGACAGTGGCCAGCACTAGCTGCTTCACAGGAAAGGAAAGTTTCCTCTTAGCACATTATAGTTAGTGTCCCCTCATACCCTAAAACCCCCTTCTGAAACCCATGGTTATATTTTTAGGGTTTATTATGACAACTCTGGATGTTCTCTTTATCCACATAGCTGACCAGTCCCCTTCTGAATCCTGCTAAGCTCTTGGCCTCAATAATTTCTTGTGGCAATGAGTTCCACAAGCCAACTGTGCATTTTGTGACAACATAGTTCCCCCTCTCACTTTTGAACTGGCTGCATTTCAATTCCAACAGTTTTTCTCTCATCTGTGTCCCTTTATCCCAGCCCCAGGTGTCAGATGCTGTTTGGCTTTTCCCTGCTTGCACTGCAGACAGCGATAATAATTGCATCATAAAGTACAGCTAGTTGTAAAATTCCCCCAAGGAAAACCCATGAAAATTAAGAAAATTTCATTTTCTTGATGAGGATTTTAATTAACTTTTCAGCAGAAATTTGAATTCCAGAAAGATCTCAGCCAAAGGAAAGTATGTAGATTGGGCAATGCTGCCACAGTGCCTCATGGGAGCTGTAGTCCAGGCGCCTCATGCTCACATTTGCCTCTATCGGCCAGGCTCCCTGGTCAGACTACATCTCCCATAATGCAACATAATCTCCCCTCTCCAGGAGTCCCAGGACATGGTGCATCATGGGAGACGTAGTCCAGCTGAGGAGACCAGCCTATGGGCAAGAATGACTGCATGAGGTACTTGAGCTACAACTCCCATGGGGCGCCATGGCAACATTTCCAAATAAATTGGTGGGGGTGCTTGGTTTTTCAGCAAAAAATTTCTCTGTTTTCCACTCTTTTCAAGCCATTTCGTGTTGTGGAAACGCCCGTTTTCCACCAAAGAGCAGTTTAGCTGGACAGTTTCCAAGCAGCCCCAGCACTGGGTCTGACAGCCCCGGGAGGCGGGCTGGTCCTCACCTGGGCTGCGTAGACTTCGGCTTGTTTGCGACACGATATTTCAATTTCATACTCCACCTCCAGCGCCGAGAGCTCGGCCAGCAGCCTCTGGGATGCTGTGAATGAGAAGGGGAAGCTGGCAGAGGCGGGATTCAAGCACCCAGCTCCACCCCCAACACAGGGCTCCTAACAGAGCGCTCCATCCACACAGCCTGCCTCCGGCTCTAGTCCCATCACAGCCGCCCCACGCTCCTTCATGGAATTTGCCCAGTTCATAAGAAGATAAGAACTGGCCAGACTGGGACAGACCAAAGGTCCATCTAGCCCAGTCTCCTGTCTTCCAACAGTGGCCAGGGCCAGGTGCCCCAGAGGGAATGAACGGAACAGGGAATCATCAAGTGATCCACCCCCTTTTCATCAGTCCGTTCATCAGGCCACCGCTCCAGTGGCAAATGGGTGGACCCTGCAGATGGCAACCACATGCTACGTCCCCTCCAACTGCTCACTACATTTCCCCGGGCCACTTCACCGCAGCCCCAGCACCTTCTTCACCCTCACCTCAGGGCCTCAGCATATCAGTTCTGGCAGCCAGTCAGGAGCTCCCTCTGTCCCCGCCAGCAACTGCTCTGTCCATGGTGATAGATTCCATCCATCCGCTAGGAATCCAGTCCTCCCTCCTTGACCTCCAGGCCATGACTGACTAACTCTGGTCCAGCAGCTTCTTTTATGTGAGACCGCTGGGCCCTGATTGGTTGCTCCCTGCAGCCCTTCCCTGATTGGTTGCACCCAACGCACTGTGAGGACTCACCTTCATGGCTCACTCCTAGGGTTAACCCCTTCTACACCTATGTGGGGTAGACACCCCACCACAGTGCCTCAACAAGCTGCCTTGTTACCAGAATTGTTACTAGTTTATCCCCCTCCCCGGGCATCACTTTATAAGGGCCTTGCTGTGGTAACCACTGCTTGGTGAGGCCATGGCAGGATTGTAGCCCTTAAGGCCGGTTCAGAACTTGGTGACATATATTTGGAATTGTTGAGATGTTAAAAGTTTCAGCATTAGCTTTGATGTTGTGTGAGACCTGAGAAAAAGAGAATTTCCATTCAGATATCAAGAAGAGAGACGTTCAAGCAATAAGGAAGGCAAAATAACACCAGCACTGGCGGTTTTGAAGAAAGATGGGAAAAGAATGTGGCAATTTCAGACATCTGGTGCTGCCTCCAGAAATGGTTAACAGGCAGTGCTGGGAGTAACATAGTATATTGTTGCTTCTTATATTTGCTTCTTTCAGCTAAAGTAACCATTTGGGCTAATGAAGGCTCCTGTGACTTGAAAAATCTGTCACGAAATGCGTCTCTACACGGCTCATCACAAGAGCACATGACAGGTGACGTTTACCTTGAAATGCTTAAAGCAGGAAAGCACTTGTATGGATGTGCTGCTTAGTGGCAAAGGTGTCCTGCTGCCTTGGAGCATAACCAGAAAGTCAGGAAGAACAGAGAGATTTTGAAGCAAGTAGCTGATATTTCAGTGGTTTTATCTTGTCAAGAACTTGCATTATGTGGCCAATGTGAGACGGAGGAATCTGTCAGCTAGGGTAAGTTCAAGGTACATTTGGTTATTGCTTTTCGTCACGAAAAGGGATTGAAGGCTTATTGGCAGAAAAATGAATTTGTTTTTTCCAGCCTAAGAAAGACAATTCAGAATTAATTGATCGAATGCATGGCTGAAGAAATAACACCCTATATTGACCAGGAGATTGAAGAGCGCAGCTTGTTCACTTGCGAGGTAGACAAAACACCCGAGCTGTCTCACTTAAACCAGCTTTCACTTGTGTTGCACCACACAGACAAGAAGAGGCAAACACAAGAGAGGCTCATGGGTTTTAAGGCTGTCCGCTCAGATCGAAATGCAGTTGATTTGAAGCAGGTTGCGGATTCAGGGATATTAGAACACGCCGACAAAACTTGTGTCTCCGTCGTGTGATGGGGCTGGAGTGCTGGCCGGTGAGCTGGGGGGTCTGAAAGCCCTGATTAAGAAGAAAAGGTTCCTCAGGCATTGTTTGTGCACTGTTTTGCGCACAGATGAAGTCTAGTTCTCCAGTAAGGGGCACAGCGTATGAAAGAAACCTGTGGCTTTTTTGAAACCTTGCAAGGCTTCTCCACAATTTTTACATGCTCCAGGAACCACAGTGAACTGCTGGACCAAACTGTCGCAGAAGGACCTTCCCTGGGTGCAGTTCAACAGCAGAGTCTACATGCCATTGTCTTGGAAAGTGAGACACCGGGCAAGGTGTTTCAGGAGCTGTTCAGTGCCTGTGGCTGGGATGGAGAATCTCAGCGACACACTATAGGGTGCCTTGGAAAATTAAACAACTTTGTTTCTTTTCTTGGCATACTCCTACAGTAACATCTTCAGCATCACCGACATTCTCTATGATCAGACAAGGCGGGGGAGGGAATATCGTTAATTGCACCAACTTCTGTTGGTGAGAGAGACAAGCTATCGAGCTACGCCGAGCTCTTCCTCGGGTCTGGGAAATGTATGTAGCTGTGATGCTCTGAGTACAAGGTTGCACCGGCTCGAGTGACGTTATTGCATGCTTTGTCTCAAATAGAGAAAGGCAGACTGAGCTTCGCTATCAATGAGATAAGCTTCCGTCTCTCTTATTGGATGTATAACTGTCCATTTCTGGCCACGCCAGGACAAACTGCCTTGTTTGTTTTGAAATTTTTGAATTAATGATTTTTTTTATACCGTATTTGTGTCTTTATAGCGAATATTCCACTAAACAATACATGATTTTGAGGTTCTGATTTGCTAATAAATTATACGTGCACTTTTTTTAGTGCTAATGTTGCTTTTTTTTAATTGATGGGGTATATTAGAGTGACCATAGCAACCGCAGTCTGTTATTTGAATGCACACTCCATTTAAGCAGAGGCATGTACAGTAGCTGAGCACGGTCAATTTATGTTTAGGACTTTAGCCTAAGCCGATATTTAAATTAATATGAAAATGTTGTGGGACTTTTAAACTATTTTTGTTTACTTGGAATTGCTCTTTTTTTTTCTCTGTAAAGAGGTTAATTGGGGATGGCTCACTCAACGATTCCCTGTTCTGTTCATTCCCTCTGGGGCACCTGGCATTGGCCACTGAAGGAAGACAGGAGACTGGCCTAGGTGAACCATTGACTGACCCAGTCTGGCCATTCTTATGATTCTTTTCTGTGTATTGAAAAATCGTCTTATAATAATAGCTATCCAATTATAAATTGGGTGGGGGTGGAAATGACTATTTTGTGAGGTGTGCCTCGTCTGTCAAAAATGTCCCAGGCCACCACTGGACCCCAGGTCTGTAGAATCCTAATGCAGCACCCTACCCACTAGCCATCCCGGAGCATCTCTAGCTGTTTTGCTAGCCAGGTGGAAAATATCTTCAGCATCCCAGTAGCTGAGCAAAAAAGGCCAGCCAATCAGTGGAGCAAAACCAGCCAGCCAATCAGAGCCGAGCCAAAAAAATAAGGTGAGTGCTATGCCCCCACCACCACCCCAGGAAGTTGGTACCCAGGGAAAATGCCCTGCTTGCCTGCCCCTAGAACCAGCCCAGATCCTTCCTGGCCTGGTATCCTGCAGCCGAATGCCAGTGCAGCTGTGTCTTACACTTGGCAGTTACAGATGGGCCCAAAGCAAAATGCGCCCAGTCTCTGGGGCATGTCCAGAGCTTGACCTGCCGCTTGCGGCTTGGTCTGGTTCTGCTCACCAGTGTGAGTGTGTGTGATTGGGGCTCCAGACCCTAGGGCCGCCCCGAGAACAATCCTGCTGTCCTCACCAGCTAGTCACTGCCCCGCACTCCCCACCAACAACTGATTCAATCCCTGTCTCTACCACTGCCTTTTCACTCCATACATCGCTCAACATGCCGGGAGGTGACCAGGACCCCGGGTCTCCGACGTGAGCTACAAAGCAGCTTTGTCAGCTGCTGCCGATAGTGGGTTTATCGCCCTCCCCGTGGTCCCAGTCACCGGGGGCAGCATCCCTCACTCACGCACAAGAAGTCAGCTCGTGACATGTATGGTGCCTGCTTATTTTATCTATCTCTGGGAGTGAGCAGGACGATGGGGGATCCCTACTGGCCGGGGAGGGCTGTTTGCCCACCCAGGGGGAGGTACCAGCATGACCACGGATGCTTTCTCCTTTAAAATAAGGGTGGTTGATATCCATATGCTCCTGCGAAGAGGGGATGGGCGTTGGGCTGAGCTCTCCCCCAGCTGCCCAGGTAAGGACCCGTCTGCAGCTCCTGGTTATTCAAGAAGAGGGTGCGGGAGATCAGAGCAAAGGTGGGTGAGGTCGGAAAGCCACTGGGGACACTCAGTATTGTGCAATGAGCCATTCCAGAGTAGAGAAAGGGGGTGATGGAGCAGCACAGATCCCACGTATCTGGGCAGGGAACCTGATTAGAACATAGTCCAGCTCCTAGCACCATGGGGTTGCTTGTCTGTGCAGCCGTAGGGGGCACGTGTTCACAGCTCAGCAGATGGGCCCCTCCCCTCCCTGTGATGCAGAAGGGCCCCTGATTCTGTAGCCGCAGAGTGCACAGAGTGGGCCGTGCATTGCTCCCAAAGGGCAGGGTGGGAGGAGGCTGGCTGGCTGGTCCATTAATGTATGTCTACACTGACGCCAGGGGTGTCATTTTCAGCTTGAGCAGACATACCCAGGCTAGTTCTGATTGAGTTAGAGTGCTAAAAATAGCCACGTCGATGGGGCGGCGTGAGCAGTGGGACGGGTTAGCCACCCCAAGTATGATCCCGGTTATTTTTAGCATATGAGCTTGAACAAAGGTAGCGCCCATATGTCAGCCTGAGCTGGAAATGACAGCTCCGGCACTGGAGTAGACGTACCCTGGGATTGCCAGCTCTACGGGGCTGGGCCCTTGACGTCAGGGTGTTTGTGCAGTGCCTGGCACAATGGGGCCCCCTCTCCTGGTTGGCCCGGTGTCCTTGCTGTAATAAACTTGAGTCATAATAGTGAGCAGCAGGAGGAATGGAACGGCTCCGCCAGCCAGGCAAACAGCGCCTTTTCCCAGGTGTCCCCCGTGGCCACAAGGAACTGCAGGCAGAAAGTCAGATTTCATGGTCATCCTCAGGGCAGATACACTGAGCAGTCAGTACATACCGTGGCTTTAATCCACAGCTTGTCTGGTAGGAGGAAAAAATGGATTCGCCAGACCAGGATTTTGCTCATTCCAGGCTGCCCAATGAGAGGAACAGGTCTGGACAGCATGGGGGTTAGAATCTCCCGTGACCTGGCTTAACCAGTACTCTGTCCATGGTACAACAGCACAAGAGGCCTCGACTGAGTTCAGAGCCCTGTTGTGCTGGGTGTGGTACAGACACGTAGCTGAGGAAAGCTAACGCACAGAGAGGGGATATGACTTGTTTAAAGGCACCCAGCGGGTCGGTGGCAGAGCTAGGGAGAGAACCAGGTCTCCTGGTGCCCAGCTTGCTGCCCTATTGCCTGCACAGGTGGGAGGATGGCTTTAGGAGACCAGGCCCCACTATCTACCTCCCAGCCTCCATATCCTGCCATCTTTAATGAGCCTGGAGACTACACGCCTCATAAATGTCCTCGTCTCGCTCCCATGAATTTTGGGGGGAAGGAGAGGAAGAAGAGGGAGGCCAAGGAACAGGACTCACCTTGCTCAAACTCAGACAGCTTCTCTTTAGCTTCATCCCTCTCCTGGAGGAGGGCCTCATGCTGCAGGCAAAAGCAAGGAGACAACACTTCATTTACACATCCTTTTGTCCCAAAGGATCCCAAAGCACTTCACCCACCACTCAAAAGCAGCCACCTTTGGGGTGATGCATGGCACCTTTGTTTAACACCAGGCCATGGTTTGGGGACAGGAAGCAAAGGATCCTATATCCAATAAAAACTGCAGGGGATTTGAGGAAGGAAACGTAGTCACCTGTGTTAGGATTTGGTCAAGGCTAGTGGGCTACCTGCTGCTCTGGGGCTTAGTCATTTTCACTGACCTTGACTAATCAGGATGTTGGTTTTGTGTTTCGTCCAATGCCCCCCATGGCACAGGGCCATGAGAGAGGGACTATTGCCCCATAATCAGTCCCCTTGGCTGTACCGTCTCTGTGCCAGGCTGGGTTAGTTATTTTGGTCCTGGTGGAGGGCTTTGTGAGTGGAAGGGAGGCCTCTGGGGGAGATGTAGACGTCTTTCAGAGCACAAAATTCTATTCAGTGATGAAAAAAGAACGGTCAGCTGTCGCTGTTGTGACTGGGAGCAGCAAGAGATGAATTCCTACTTCTTCCAGCCCAGGAAAAAGAGCACAAAGATCTGTCCGAGCCACTAGCGATGTTGAAAAAGAAGTTGAAGTCAAATCTTCATCCATTCGTCGTATGATATTCCACTCTGTGTTCAAATTCTCTGTTCTGTCCTGAGCACACGGCAGCCCCGTTGCTGGCAGTGCCTCACTCCACTCAGCTGTCGATGTTTTATAGGACAGGGATCCGTAAAAGCTACTTAGAGGGTGAGTAGAATCTAGAAGTCACTGTTGTCGATTTTTAAGAATCAAGTCTGTGGACTTTTCCAGTTGTCTTAACAAACACTTCTTGTCCTCTTCACTTAAGGATTCGATATAAATGCCTTCATTAGTCAACTTCTGGACTGAAGTCTTTGCTTCTTCCAGTACGTTTTCAGTGGATAGCTCTCTGATTGATCCAAATGTAGCTTCTCTTGCTGGACAAAGATCTGCTACTGTTGTAGCAGATGCCTGGACGGCATTGTTTAATGACCCAAGTGGTTTCAAGAATAGACTTGCAAGAGAGAGAATGGCAATAGTCTTCTCTGAACGTAGTAGCAAAAGTAATCCACCAGCCTCACTACTTAGATCCATCCCATCTTGGTAGATACTTTCCAAAGCCAGTAATAATGGCTGGAGTAATTTTAAGACAACAGCCAAGGATTGCTCACGAGAAAGCCAGAGGGTTTTCCCAGGTTGGACTAATTTGAACTTCAGTCCCAGTGTATCTTCTATATTTTCCAAGATAGTCTTTTTGGACTCTTGCTGAAAAAAGAATAGAAGGAAGACATTCCATTTATAGCTTTTGTAACGTCTTTTGAAGAGTCTGCAGCTCGTACTAGCGCTAGTTGGAGTAGATGGCCTCTGCAGGGTGGATAGGAGAGACCAGGGTTACACTTTTCTCTGAGCAACGCTTGTGCTCCACCACGTCTTCCAGAGAAGTCTGCAGCTCCATCAATTGCACAAGCAGCCATCTCTTTGGGATCCAGTTGACAAGCATTTAACTCTTCTAAGACGTGGGTTGTCACAGATGCAGCCGATGTGTCTTCTATAACTTGAACATCTAGAAATGCATCTACTGGCCTACCCCTGACATCAAGATAACGTACACAGTGACTTAATGCTTGATGCCCATTTGCAACGGTGCATTCATCAGCCAGGTATGCACACTTTTCGAATGTGGTGAGAGAGCTCTTCACTTTTTCAGCTGCTGAGTCTTTCACTGTTTCACCGCATGCGTCCAGCCAGTCAGCTGAGTTCTTTGCAGAAAGGCAGCGAGCATTTGCTGGTCGTCTTCGGAACCAGCGTTCAACTTCAGGGTGAACAAGCGACCATGCCCTTCGCACCGGCCTCCGGTCTGCAGCGTGCGGCGTCTCGTACTGAAATAGACAGGACGAGGCCGCGGCCACATGTGTTCGCATGAACGGCATTGTGTCTCCAGCATTCTTAACAGCCTCCTGAGCACGCACCGGCGTTGTCCTGGGTCAGCGGGGACGCGGCGTTCGGAGGCGCTTTCGCGTGAGGTTACCTCCCAGGTGGGCGGCAAGAAGGCGCCTCGCTCGTTCCTCCAGCTGCTCCCGGTTCGCTCTGGCCACTGCTGTTCATTGTGGCACCGTTCACTCCTTCGCTCTGTTGGAGCAATGGTCTCAAGTTGCCGTGGGGGAGGTCTAGGTTGGATAGTAGGAAAAACTTTTCCACTAGGAGGGTGGTGAAGCCCTGGAATGCGTTGCCTAGGGAGGTGGTGGAATCTCCTTCCTTAGAAGTTTTTAAGGTCAGGCTTGACAAAGCCCTGGCTGGGATGATTTAGTCGGGGATTGGTCCTGCTTTGAGCAGGGGGTTGGACTAGATGACCGCCTGAGGTCCCTTCCAACCCTGATATTCTATGATTCTATGATTCTGTTGCCAATGGCCCTGCGCCATCACCTTCTGCTGCCACCTGCCACTGTGACCTCTGCCAGTGGGTCTCTTGAGATTCCACCAGCTCTCAGTGATTTCAGCTGAGCTCTCAGTGGGGGAACCTCGCTGCTGGTGCAGACTGGGCCGTCTCTGCCACAGAAACACTGTCCCACCGCAGGTCTAAGCTCTTAGACCTGATTTCAGCTATAGTAGTGGTCACTTAACAGAACAAAAGACTCTCTATGGAGCCTAATCAGCTCTGTCTTTAAACCGTGGAGCGGGGCAGGTCAAATCGTACTTGTGACTCAGGCAGACCATCAAGCAAAACACCTGTCCCCACCCTCCCTCCCTCTCGATGCCCTCAGTCAGCAGAGGCTACGTCCAGTTCTACTGCCCTTTACTCCTGCAATAAGAACAACCACATTTCATCCCCCCTCATACCCCGCATCCAAGTGATTTGTAACCCAACCCCAGCCCAAATCTATCACTTGGGCAACGCAGCTCTGTTTGCTGGATACCTGGGTAGATTAGGTGTGAATGTAAATACAATCTGGTCCTGGAACCTTTCCCCCCAGCCCCAGCTCATCACTAGCTGTTAGGGAGAGCTCCTTTCGACTTTGCTTACAAATCATCATCTGAAATTGTGAGGTTGGCCAACATCACCGAAATGAAGGCAGTGGCGTGGTCATAAAAACAACAGCTGTGTAAGGAAGCTGGTCTCTGTTCATACTTTTCAAATCTATTACACCTCTTCAGATACACGTATTTTATCATACACTGTGTATGCTTTTAAAGTGTGTATTAATGTTTCAATTTCAATTCAAATGTCCAAACAATCAGTAAACTGGCAACACTGCATGTAACGAGTTCCCCAAACTGCGTGGTGTGGGGGAGAGGGAAAGGGGGGGGAATTCAGGGTGGGTGTAGGGAAATCCCTGCTTGGGGAATAAAAACAAAACAGAAGACAACTCTGTACCGTAGCCACTTCTTCATCCTCCGATGACTCGCTGTCAGATTCCAGGATGGCTGCAGGGAACAGAAAGCACACAGCAGGAAGTTACCACACTCAGCAAGAAGCATGAAACCTTTGCAGGAGTGCTCAGCATTCAAGCTGTGGGTCATCACGTCTTACCTGCCTGCAGCGCCTTCAGCCGAAGCATTTCCATGTGTGTTCCAACCCCCCGGGAGGGACCCTGCACCCTCAAATACCCCAACATCTATGGGAGTCGAGAGTGCCTTGTGCCTTCTAGGGCCGCGTCCCGGGTCTAAGTTACCTGCTCCAGAAAAGCAGCCACCACTGGTAGCTTCATGCATTTACACCACAGTATTGCCAACTCCTGCGATTGTACTGCAAGTTTCATGTGAATTAGTATTCTTCTTCAAGCCCCAGCTCCTGGAGTCATGTGAGGATGTGAGAATCCACCGTTTGTTGTTTTTTAAAAAAGTCTCTTGATTTTTAAGCCATGCGATCCTGGCCGAGCAGGTGCCAGCTCATGCCAAGGCCCCTAGGTCTCAACTGAACACAGACATAGCTGGAAACCAGTCTGGCTTAGCTGTGTGTTACTATTGTTTAGATAGGTATTAGAATGATAAGAATGAGTTTGGTGTTCAGACTTTATGGAATGCTTGTCAGTAGCTGCCCACATTAATCTCACCTATAATACCTGTAGCCCATGTGATAAGGTAATATTTAAGTATTTGCTCTGTAACTGCAAATCACCAGACAGGAGAGGAGCATTAACGAGCGTGAAATACTAGGGGCCAACAGGAGGTGTGATCTCCTGTCCCTCAAAGGAGGCCCATCAACGCCAGACGAGCTATTATGAAACATCAGGGGATGAAAGTCTTTGTTGTTTGCTCTCCACCCCACGGAGAGGAGAAGTGCAAGTGAATTCCGCGCAACAGCTGAATTTGCAACTGGAAGCAGAAGCAGGGAAGCAATAAAAAGCCCTGACAAGGAGGAACTGTATCTTTCATGCTGCTTGGATGCTGAGGGGCAAGGATTACTAAGCATAAGCAAAAGATCCCCAGTGTTTGGCCTGGGTTAGCCCCAAAAGACACACAGAGCTTGCTTATTATAGAAACGTCTATGACTTTTTGAAACTTAAGATTGGAACTCATTTGTGTATCTGTGTTTACCTGCTTTAACTTTGTAAATAACTCTAATTTCTTTTTCCCGCTAAACTAATCTTTAGACAGTTTATTGTAGGATTGGCTACAAGCGTTGTCTTTGGTGTGAGCTCTAAGGTGCAACTGACCTGAGGTAAGTGACTGGTCCTTTGGGAGTGGGAGTAACCTGGATATTGTTGTGATCTTTGGTGTAAGGGACCATCTGTCACAAAGGCAGGCTCACCTGGTTGGCAAGAGAGATCTGAGCACCCAAAAGGACTGTCTGTGATTCCATATTCAGGCTGTTATAGCATCTGAGAAGTTTACACTTGATAATTGGTTAGTGAAATTCAACGATAAAACTCACAACCAGTTTGGGGTTTGTGCCCTGCTTCTTTGCAGCCTGCCCTGAGGCTGGTCCTCACACCCCTGAGTCCCTGCAGGACAGCTTGCCAAGCCAATCTCATGAGCATTTAGGGGCCTGACTCAGGACTGTGGCATGGTTGGGGCTGGCGATGCTGATTGCTTTGCATCGCTTTCCCCACCTTTCCCCATTGCAAGGATTTCACCCCATCGCTCAAACAGGCATGCAAGGAAGTGAAGCCCTGGGAGCCATGCTGGCCACTGGAAGCAGCTGGGAGCCCAAGAAAGAAGGGTCCATGTACGGTGTTATCTGGGCTTAGCAGGAAACTATCCGACATGGGCTGGAGGAGTGCCCGGGGGAGACAGACCGCGTGTGACCTTTCCATCTCTTAACATCTCTGATTGATGCAACGCAGGAAGCTGGGGGCACCGGTGGTGGTGTTTGGAATGGGGATTGCAGCAGCCGAGGCCCCCAGGGATAGAATTCTGGGGTGAACCCCCATTCACAAAAAACTCTCCCCCACTCTATGAGAAAGAGCAGACCCACTGACTCTGACCAGACCTGGAGAGGGTGAAAAGTGCTCCCATTCATAGGCCACTCCTGCCTACCCAGGCCATATGTGTAGGAGCAAAGAATGTGGGTCCCACTTACAAGACGGGGGACTGCATCCTGGAGTGCAGTGATTCTGAAAAGGACTTAGGGGCCATGGCAGACGACCCCTGGAACATGGCCTCCCAGGGGCATGCCGTAGCTAAGAGGGAGGACACAATCACTGGATGCATAAGCAGAGGAATATCAAGTAGGAGTAGGGAGGTGGCATTGCCTCAATATATAGTATTAGTGAGACCGTTACTGGAACACTGTGTCCCGTTCTGGTTATCTCCACTTCTAAAAGGTTACTGAAAAATTGGAAAGCAGCTTTCGGAACATTACTGGGTAGCCCGGATATGCTGGATTCCCAGTGTCCTCCTGTTCAGACTATAAAGTACAAATCCTGGGCCATTCAAGGCTGCCATGTTGCTTCATACCACAGCCAGGCCAAACTTCAGAGCAAGAGCAGAGACAGAGCTCTGATCCTCCAAGACCCCAACTATCTGGGTGAAATGGCAATCTCCACTAGCTACTAGCAGTATAGGGCCCATGACACACAGTGAAGCAGTTCAGCTTCCATCCTGCAGAGGGCAGTGGTATGCACACACCAGCAAGGTCATTACAGTTGTATAACATAGAATCATAGAACTGGAAGGGACCTCGAGAGGTCATCTAGTCCAGTCCCCTGCACTCATAGAAGGACTAAATATTATCTAGACCATCCCTGACAGGTGTTTGTCCAACCTGCTCTTAAAAATCTCTAATGATGGAGATTCTACAACCTCCCTAGGCAATTTATTTCAGTGCTTGTCCACCCTGACAGTTAGGAATTTTTTCCTAATGTCCAACCTAAACCTCCCTTGCCGCAATTTAAGCCCATTGCTTCTTGTCCTCTCCTCAGAGGTTAAGAAGAATAACTTCTCTCTCCCTCCTCCTTGTAATAACCTTTTATGTACTTGAAAACTGTTCTCATGTCCCCTCTCAGTCTTCTCTTCTCCAGACTAAAAAACCCATTTTTTCAATCTTCCTCGGTCATGTTTTCTAGACCTTTCATCATTTTTGTTGCTCTTCTCTGGACTTTCTCCACATCTTTCCTGAAATGTGGCGCCCAGAACTGGACACAGTACTCCAGCTAAGGCCTAAGCAGCGTGAAGTAGAGCGGAAAAATTACTTCTCGTGTCTTGCTTACAACACTCCAGCTAATACAGCCCAGAACGATGTTTGCTTTTTTTGCAACAGTGTTACACAGTTGACTCATATTTAGCTTGTGATCCACTATGACCCCCAGATCCCTTTCGGCATTACTCCTTCCTAGGCCGTCATTTCCCATTGTGTATGAGTGCAACTGATTGTTCCTTCCTAAGTGGAGAACTTTGCATTTGTCCTTATTGTCTGGATTCTACAGGTATGGTCACTTTAGCAATGCAGACAGACCTAGATGGATGGGTCAGACTCCTCCAGCCTCATCCCTTCGCCTGACATCAATGAGACTGCAGTGGGGTTATGATCCCCTTACAACCAGCAGCTCCTGCACTGGACCAGACCAGTAGCCAGCCCAATCTGCCAGGGGCCAATGCCAGATGTCTCTAGGAAGAGAGACATTTCCAGTAGACCGCTCCTTGGCTCAGCTGATGATCAGCTGATACCCTGGAGCATGGGATCACCCTTGTAACTTGCAAGTGCAACTGTACATGTGTATTCTCATTACCAAACACTCTCATCCTTTTCTAAGAACCTGCTCAGCTGTTCGCAGCTCATGTTATCCCATGCACTCGGAGGTGGGGGGGCCTTACCTGGCAGTTGGTAATCCATTCTGACCCGAGCTGACGGAGCTGTGTCTCCACGCTGGTGTTGCCTGTTGCCTCTGATGCGAGTTGACTGGTCTCCTTCCCCGTTTGCACAGAGGCTGGGCGGTTTCCATTCCTCAGCCACACGGGAACCGAAACCATCCCTCTTCCTGTGAGCTGGCAGCTGCAGTGTTGCATGCAGCCGGGGGAGCCTTAGCAACCGTATCAAGGAAGGGACCCAGCAGCTGTGACAGGACAGGGCTGTTCACCAGCAATTTGCAGGAACGATGAGGGTCTAAAGGGGCCCTGAACCTTGTGATCTCATTGGCACTGGTGCAAAGGGGGCACAAAATACTATGGGAGAGATTCTGTCTTATACAAGGGCCTTGTCTGCATGGGGAAGCTAGTCCAGTGTAAGGCAGGGAGTGAATTTAAACGGCTAGAGCAACGAGGAGTCCTTGTGGCACCTCAGAGACTCACACATCTAACGAACAAACCCCTCTGTAAACTGCTAGCTCGTCCAGAGTGAGACCATCCACCCGCGCGGCTACTGTGGAATAATTTACCTGGCAATAGCTACTCGGGTCAACTGCGCAGACAAGCCCCTCGACCGCTTACGCCTCTAGCCTTAAAGTGGCTTTCAAGTGAATACACCTGCTTTACGGCCCCTTTAATCTGCCAGTGCACTGGGATGGGGCCTTTGTATAAATGAGACCCGGGCCCTACCAATCTGATCGGATAGCGTTTTACACCAATACCAAATGGGGGTAAAGGGGCTGGACAACAAATAATAAATGACCATAATAATGAATCAGGCCCCAAATGGCTCCGAGTTAGTCCCTTAGCCAGCCCCTCATCATTCCCCACGATACTTTCTCCAAAGCTTTGCTCGATCTAAATGTAAACGTCCCAAGCACTGGGGTTTTCTTCACCTCCTTGGGACAACTCCTCAACAGCCCGGAGCACCTCACTGTCGGGAATGTTGCCTGACATTCAGCCTACATGCCCCTTCCTTAATCCCACCTCAGTGCTCCTCATTAAACCTGCTCTGTGCCACCCCAGGACACCTGTTTCCCTCCAGGGGGGTTTACACATTTCAAATACCTGTAGCCGGCAGTTACGTCCCCTCCCTGAGCCAAGCTGAGCAGATCTAGGTCTTGCCTTAGGAGCTGATCCCTTACCATTTTTGTGGCCCTTCTCTGAATGCTTTCTGGGGAGGAGGTGCCCAGAATAATATTCCAGGCAGCAGAGCTGTATCTAGAGGGGCTATTCCCTCCCTTGTCCATGATGCCCTGTGGAGGCAGCCCATCATTGCATGGGCCTTTTTTCCTGCAGTCTCATGGTGGAATCTTCCCATGAAACTCAGCACGGAGATTTGAACCAGCTGTCCTTCCTGCTGCCAGCGCCGTCATCATCTCTCTCCCCCCGCCCCATACTTCTAACTCCTAAAATACCTATTTCCTCTTGACTTGCCTCTTTGGGCATCTCCCGCAAGAGAACAACTTTGGAGGAAAGTCTGTGTTTTTTCAAGCAAGGAGTTTCAGAGATATAGGGGGTTGGAGGGGGAACACACAATGCAGTTGAAAACGGATAGAAGTTTTTCACACAGTGAGTAACTAGCCTGTGGAACTCCCTGCCACATGATGATATTGCGGCCAAGGAATTAACAAAGTTCAAAGGAAGACTGGACATTTCTATGGATAACAAGACCATCCAGAGTTAGAATAGTTAATGCTAACTAAAATAACGGTAGAGATATGAAACCTCCTGCTTCAGGGCTTAAGCCAATATCTGATTATTACAGAACAGGATGAGTCCTCTGTGGGGTCAGATTATCCCACATCTACTGCTGTGGGGTTCTTCCTCTGCGGCATCTGGGTCTGATCCAGTCTGGCAATTCCTAGGAGAGTTTAGAAACCATTAGGGCTTCTCTTACTCGCCGAAAGTATCTTCCATCCGTCTGACAATTCACATTCAAGTGATTGGCTACAGTTTTGTTTAACCCATTTGATGGCTACAGCAGCCCCTGGCCAGCTTTATCATATTCTTTATAGTTCAGTAGCACCTGGAGGCTCCAGCCAAGATCAGGACCCTGTTACGCCAGGCGCTGCACAGACCCAAGGACAGTCCAGAGCTGACAAGCCCTCACTGGGTTTATGGACCCTGAAAGGTCCCTGTAGAGTATATCAAGCTGACAGCGGCCCTTGGTTGGAGGCAGCCGGCCATACCCCTCACTGTTTGTACTGTCGCTTGCAGCGCCTGGGGCTGCCAGCGCCAGGAAGAGCTCAAGCAGCGCCAAGGTGGCTCCTTTCTTCTGCAGCTACTCCCCCCTTCCCTCCCTAACCGTGGAAATCCTCCGAACTCAGAGTTCATGCTAGTTAATCAGCAGGGGATGCAGTAACATAGGACTCCCGGGGGCGCACGGTGCATTTGGAGAGCTAGGATTTCCAGGGAACAGGAATTGGGGTAAGTGGAATTCACATTGAATCTAGTTGTAACAGCGATCACATCTCTCCCTCTGCCCCCTCTGGCTGGTGGCACAATCACTCCTCTCTCAGGATCAAACTCATCCGTGGGGCAACTGTGCTGACTTTAGTGAGTTACATCAAGGATAAATGTGGCCCTCAGTTGGTACATCTCCAGGGGGTTCTTCATACCAGGCAGCCTCCCACCTGTGGTTTTCTTGAGCCAAGCTGGTTCCCCACGTCTAAGGCTCTTGACTAGAATAGGGGAGCCAGCGCTGGAATACCTCCAGGGACCTTTACATCAGATGAAAGGAACTAAAAAGAAACACTTTGTCATGTAACAGCCAGTTAGCCTGTGGAACTCACTGCCACGGGATGTCATTGAAACCTAGAATTTAGCAAGATTCAAAAAGGGATTGGATTTTGCATATAACGAATAGCCAGTTGTAACAGCTAATGCAAACTCATTTCGCAGGGTTATAAAACCTCCTGCTTCAGGGCGTAAGCCAGTTTCTAACATTAGGGATCAGGACAGGAAACTTCCATGGCGTGGGGCAGATTATCCCTCAGCTGCTACTGCCGGGCTCTTACACCTTCCTCTGCAAGCCCTGACGCTAGCCACTGGCACGGGGGTTACTCGGATTAGCGCCACTCTGCTGCTTCCTATGTTGCTGGTTTTGTGGAAGTGAAGGTCAGTGCTCAATACCTGCTAAGCTACTGATAGCGATGTGCTCTGCAAAACTCCACATTATGCGTTTGATACGTGGGCCAATCGCTCTCCCATGGAAAAGCTTTGGTGTCAGAGCCCAGGACTGGGACAGGAATCAGGACTAGGAGCCCGTGGTCAGAGGCAGGGCCAGAGCAAAGGGTCGCAGCCGGAGTCAGGAATCGGGGCAGACGGCCAGAGCCAGGTTAACTACAGGGAAACAAGGCGGGGCAGGGTTGGAACAGGGCAGGCACAGGCTCTGGGCGAGTGCTTTGAGCAGCCACTGACCTGCCGCTGCTGGGCTCAAGAGCTGGTCTGCTGCCTCTTCCCACCAGGCGGGAGGTGCACCCGTCAGGCAGCCGACGCCAGGCCAGCTGTGCTCGTCAGGTAGCCCGGAGGCTGGCTCTGCCGCAGGCCCTGGCGATGGGCACCTCACTCATTAGTGCTGGGCTTGATTTCATCAGAAGTCCACAGCAGGCGAGCGGCCTGCGGAGACCATGCTCCATCCAGCCCCTGAGCCGGCTCCCCTGGAAGTAGTCTGTGTGCCGATGCCTCCCTGCATCAGGTTATAGGTGCTGAGTTATTTGCAGAGCATAAAGTCTTAGGCCAACCCGTCAGGAGCTGTACGGTGCCCGCGTCCTCCTCCGGGCCAGGTGGCGTGGGCTTCTCCGCCACTCAGCTCCCAGGCCCACAGGCCCCCCGAATCGCAGCAGCCCAGACAGCATCTGCAAGCCCTGCATGGACCGACAGTGATCTCAGAAGCATCCCAGTCTAAGCACTGAACTGTCCTTGGGCTGGGACACATCGTGTGGTGCTGCAAGGGCAGGTGGGCCAGGGAGTATCTGGTCCCGGCTGTGTCTGGGGAGAGGCCAGCAGTGGGAAATTTGCTGATGGTTTTGTGCTGAAGAAGTCCAGTGTTTATAGGAAAGTCTCCCCCACTCAGATCCAGGGCCCTGCAAAGTTCTCTTGGTGGAAGGGGCTCGGGTCTGAGATGTTCCCTCATGTACTGCTCACACCGCCAGCTTCCCACGGGAGCAGGACTCCACATGGAAAGGGCCCACACAGTGGCATGTTGCCTCAGGCAATGATCCTATCACCCATCGGCAGTAGGTGTTCTCCCCCCACGTGCCACACCATGCTTCTCTAACACCACAGCGTTCGTTCCTTTGCCCAGGAACCGGCCAGTGCGCCAGGTCAGGGTGGACACAATTGGCCAGGGCATCCCCAAGTTCAAGTGTGACTCCAGAGCAGCCAGCGCCAGCAGCTTTTGGAGCCCGGTTTCCTCTCCTTCGCTTCTGCTGTCACTCGGCAGGACTCTAGAGAGCAGGACAGGCTGGTGCGGCCTTGTTCCGACCCACTCCCGCTGCCAGGCCGTGGCTCTGCCCAGCAATTGCTGAGGCATCATGGCCTTCAGGCTAGGACCTGATGTGGTTAACCCTGGGCGGACGCGCTGCGGTCAGTTGGAAAGTGGTGTTGTGGGGTTAGCTGGTGAGAGCTGACCACCCGGGCGGGACGGCGCTTTTTGAAGACCCCCTAATGGCTGGGGGCCTCTCACGTCCCACAATTAAAGAGCCAGAGATGGATTTTTCCCCCTCGCATTTTTTTTACTGAAGGTTAATTATCCGCTCACCGTTGCGGGTCCCGGCCCATGGTCCATTGTAAATAGCGATGTCTGGTCAGGCCTGGAGCCGGTGAGGCCAGGGGGAGCGAACCGGGATTCCTGGCCTGGGGCACGGGGTGGGAAGCGATCTCGTTCCATGAGGAGGACACCTGGCAGGACTGTGCGGTACAACGGGCTGCTTTGCTACGGCTTAAGGCCAAGTGGGGACAGGGGCTGTGGCCACGTGGGGAAGACTGGAGCCAGAAGCGCAGGGAGGAAAGCCCAGGAGGGAGGGACCCAGGCACCCCAGGGCAGGGATGGGAGGCACTCTAGGGCTCTTTTTGGGTATTGATTTGGACCTCGTTGCCCGAAAAGACCTTTGGTTTCCAATAAAAACAACCCCCCAGAGGAAGTGGAATTTTGAGGGGTGTTCTCCCTCCTTCTCTAATGTGGGATCCCCCCTCTTTTAACCCATTCCCTTCCCCAAAGAGCCCAGGCTGCTCCAGCCACCAGGCAGCCTGGGGGGGCAGTAAAACGACTATCCCAGATGGGAGTGGGGGGCACTCGGCCTGCCTGGGTTTGGGGGGAGCAGCGCAATCAGCCTGCTGCCCTGACACACACCTCACCCCAGGTTCTGTGGGAGAAAGGCTTGGATCTCTGCCTCTGGCAAGAGAGGGCTGGATGGGGGCAGGGAACCGACACACGGGGGGTTGGGGGCGGATGGATAGTGGTGAAGAGGCATCAGTGCTGGGCTTAATCTGCTTCAGGGAAGGGGCTGCAAAGGTGGGACTGGTCTGGCCAATGCGCTCTCCTAGCCCTGCCTTCCTGGCGAAACATAAGCCAGAGGGATGCAGCCCAGAGCTCCCTCCATCCCATCATCCCCAGTGCCTCCTCCCCACTGCCCTGGCTAGCTACGGATCAGAGGCTGCGGTGTGAAGCAGAGGGTCTCCAGGAGTTGGCAGAGCTTCCTTTGCACCACTCAGCCTCCTGCCGTCCCCGAGCA